CTATCATATTTACCGAACAAAGCTCGGATTCCCGGGATATTTCCGGGTGTAATGCAAAGGCACATAATTGCAGGTTGCAGCCGAACAACGCTCTCATTAGTGCAATGTTCAATTAGGGAGTGCCGATGGGCGGGTCTCCTCACGGTCTCCGAATTGGTCTGGCTTTGACTATTCGACGCATGTTCAGGAAAGTGTATCAGATAATAGCTGCCACACACCATCAAGTTCACCATAAAGTTTTCAGCTCGCTTGAAGCGGCGTCATGCAAACTTGATGGTGTGGGGATAACATGTAATACAAAATGATATTTGCACCAGCCGCGTGATGTACTAGCCGCCATCATACTGGAAAGGCGACGGGAGAGTGAGATATATGTATAGACATATCTCACTGTCATTCGACCTGTTTCTCGAGTCTTTCGATTACGTCATGCTGCAAGAGCAAGACCGGATCCATATCACAGCTATCCGAAAACTGAATAAGTGCGATCCGGAGAATGAACTCCTGCTCAAAATAGTGTATCCAACAAACGAGATGATTACCAAAGATATGACGCAGGGCCATCAATCTTGTATATCAGGAAAATAGTGACATCACAACTCTGTTAGAGTTATACAGTAAAGTTCTTTATTCGCTAGAAATATTCCATTTTGTCTGGAATGGTAATTCATATAGGATTGTTGGGTATACTAAAATAAATTTAAACTTATACTTTTGTAAATCTTAGGTAAAGTTTAAAGAATATATATTTTTTCGTTTTGCCGCTGGTAAAGTCTTTTTCAAATGACATTAATATGCAACCATCGCTTCGGCACGTGTCTGTAGAACTTTAATTACCTATCTTAAATTATCACAATATCGAATTCTTTTGATATAACGTTTGGTTCCACGAATAATTAGCCCTGAATAGAAGAATTACGTTGCGAAAAGTGTATGACAAAGTTACAAGGTAAACTAATAAATAGCTCTCACTGTTTTAAAAACAAGTATCTAAGAATAATAGATATAGATGGTATATGGGTATATATATATGGGTCTTAGTAGATTGTTTTTATTATTTTCGTGATAGCTTCAAGCATTCATCGACGGACGGAAAAGGCTCTGTCAATACACACGGTTTGAGTGTGAGCAGACAAGCATCCGATGATCAATGTTTGTTTGAAATCCAATCGATAGAACGAATAACATGTCTGGATTTAGTTTATACACTAATCACTGTAGTAGGAATTGTTTATAAATACAAAAGCGCCCTCAAAAGCTGGCTTCATCAGTGTTAAACTTAGTAGGGCTTTTTGATATAAATTCAGACAAAACTTGGGTAGCTACAGATTATTGTTTTATAAAAGTCATATCGTATTTCTTTCCGTGGTATTATGTGATACTTATTTATGGCAAGCTGGCTTCATAATGTTGCCATCTCACCCAGATATAGGAGCATAGTAATATGATTAAAGCAATGTTTTCCAACATTGTCATGTTGCCTTATTTATTTAAATCCAGTAGCTTTTGAGGCCTATGTCCAACAGTGAAAGTCTGCCGTCTCACTAATATGACGAGTAATTTGAGTCTGTCCCTTAGAAATGAACAACAAAACTTTCCACTATGTAATACTAATATAGATTAATTAACCATCAATATGCTTCAGCCAATTCATACAGAACATTTGTAAAACACAAAAATTTCCCACGACGTACTCCGTTCATATATGTAGATATTGATTAGGATCTACCTTCGCTAGTTTTAAAGTATATAAATCGCTATAGTATAGTATATAAAACATATGTATGTAAGATGCTATAAAAGTTATTCATTGTATTAATAATTTACTTCAAAATCTGTATAATAAATGTGAAAGTACTTTAAGTAGGTATGTCTATGTTTTCACGCATAAACTCTCGACCAATTTTAATGATGTTTGGTACACGCATAGAGTGGATATAGGATAGTTTTTATCATGAAAATAGGCGTATATAGGGATTCCGACGGGCGGACGGATAGCTAATATAAAATTAATGTTTTATTTTTCAATTATAAATATGAAATCTTTGTTGTGCATCTAAGAAGTAAATAATGTATATATACGAATACAATAAAATTAATTCACAATAGCTTTGTAAGTAAATTGAAGAACAATGTCTCATCAAAGTGAAAAGGTGCGGCTCGCCCGCTGGGAATACCACGATTTTTCATTAACAAATCGCTTTAATTAAATTTATTTCATATAACAGTCGTCGTATAATATTCTCTGTATTTAAATTAGTAGTTATAGCATTCCTTTGAATAGCTAAGCTTTTTCTTTATAATTGCTGCTCCATTTGCTGCATATAGGTACTTTATAGTTATGCTTAAGTAGATTTATATCTTAAAAAAAGAAAGATCTGTCGCGTACTAACGAATAGGAAATTCCTTGAAAATTCTATTCGTGAGACGTTGACTGGTCAGATTAGCACCAATCCTAAAATAGCACTGTAAATGCAAAATTGTAATGTGACAGAAATAAACTAACCTTTTCTGCACATTACATAGAAACTTTACCAGTGGCGTAGCGTGCTTTGGCGGGGCCCCGTATAAAATTTCTTTGGGGGCCCTTATGTAGGATAAAGATTTTTCACATAAGAAAAAAAATGTTTGTATAAACTGTGCGAAATTTAATCGTATATACATCGATTATTATGGGATTCCCCCGTAACGACTTAAACGGAGATATCCCGCAGCCCGCGAAAACCGTTGTAAGGTGTTGCCTTTGAAACGCACGCTTAACGCAGGAAAAAGAAATTGCTTTTTTTACTTTTTCAATTCTGAATTAAAAAGAAATTTGGGAAGTATTTATTGATTTTTGCTAACGTTGGGGGCCCCAGTGGCCCGGGGGCCTTCTATAATTGATACGGCATATACGGCGGTAGCTATGCCTCTGAACTATCGTTCTATAAAATATATTAGTTTAAGATAGTGAATTATTTACCTACCAACTGTACGAGTCTAATAATCGTCTAGTATACTGGTAGTCAATTATTTACTGTCGCGAACCGCTAAAAACTTCTATTGACCATCTAAATTCATTAAATACTTACATGTAGTAGTTAGTAGGTATACAATATAACAGTAAAACAGTTAGTAAACTGTTTTCCCATGTTAATTCTATGTCACACGCAGATGATATAACTTACCGTAGGCATTGATCAATCGTAGATGAAAAAAAATTGATCCAGTAGTTTCGGAACCGTTATAATATTTAATAAATAGAAGAATATATAATTGATATAACATACCAATTATTTATCACAGTCACTGTTATTAACGTGGTTATTAACATTATAAAAGTGGCGAGAATATGAAATTTTTAATGAAAATGCCTTAAAATCCACTTTCTCCACACTCTGTTATGGGAATCGAACCCACGAGTAAAGCATTGTGAATGCAAAATTGATGAAATATAATAAGTGGCTATTTATTTTATTCAGTAAGATAGAGTAGGTAAGAGTGTTCGGCCAGCGATGCTAATATTCAGCCACTTTCGCAAAGGCCGGTCATAGAATGGGTGAGCAAAAATTTAATATTCGACCTCCTCCACGTTTCTCACGGCACGTTTTACCGCTGGTTCCGTTCCTTCATCGGTAGACTTTAACAACCACTGGGTTAAAGTCCGTTAATTGTATTACAGCGCGTTCTCCATATTCGATTCAATAGGGAATGAAACTTACTATAAATAACCAATAGCCAAACTGGTTATAAATTACCAAGTCTAAAAACATTAGATCCATAACCTATAGGTACATAATTAATTTTGGTAATCTAACAAAAAGAAGTCAAACAGAAGGGTGGTGGTAATTATCAAATAGATTTTACTTACTTAGTTACTGATAATCCTAATAAAATAAACAGGGCAAAGCGGTGGACTCCTTATCTCGAGTGGAGGCCAATGGAGCGAGAAATAAGGACTTCCTATTATTCCGAAAGGGACATTGACAAAATAAAGGATAAGGCGTCTTAAGCTAAAAGGAGTACTTACACTAACATATACTGAACAATATTTTCTTGTTCTTTTTGATAATAATACATTGTTTTAAGCAATTATCTAACACATTAATGTTGTTAGACATTGGACTTCGTTTGAAACTGAAAAGGCAGGTTTAATTAGGTATACTAACTTTATAGCCATTTTCTGAGTTATCATCAGTTTTATTTTATTTTACCTTATCAAAGAAGATGTAGTACGCCTTTTACGTTCTTGAACATAAAGAACCTTTTTATCTCAGATCAATCACATTCTAAAAAGTTTGAAACAAGAAATCTTTTTTATAGCAATAAGTATAGCGATGACTGTTATGATCAGTGGCATACGACTATGCTGTCCTTTGGTCATCGCTATAAAATACATTTAAAAACTTTTTAGAGCGTTATTTAGCTATAGTCGGGTTTTAGTTTTTGAACCTTGTTTTAATTTACTTAATTTAAGGATGTATTTAAGCAAAATATATATATATATATTTATATAGCCATCGAGACATATCATATATATATTCGATATTCGATTCGAAATGTACTGATTAAACCTTTTCATTTAATACCCAACACGGAATGATTGAATACTATATATTTTTTAGTTTCTTACTTTATGTTCTCTAGAAGGCCCTGTTGCCAACTTAATGTAACGTCATCATAGCCTTATAGCACACGGACAACTAAGATGCTTCTAATACATCCCATTTGTACAGTTTTGAAGTTATAAGGGAACAGATGAACATTTTTACATCATACATATCAACCAAAATCATAATCCTCCTTTTCGCTTCGCTGTAGTCGGGTAAAAAAACGCCAGTATCAAGTTTGTAACTGTACAAAAATTGTTTAAAACAAATATCATAAATATATATTAACTCAAATATATGCGGTCTACTTAAGTAGCACAGGTAGACTATAGGTATATTCAGTAGTATGAAATAGTCTTTATATTAGACTATTCTATAAAACAATTATACACTATTTAAAAAAATACTTACAACCATCGGATTCCTTTAGAAGACTTCGGCAAAAACACAAAAAACAAAATCCAAAATAAAACAAAACAGCGCATCACAAAAAAAAACAAAACAACTCAAATTGTCAACACTCGTTTTCGAAAAGTTTTGCGCGCGTAATATTTTAGCGGGAGAAATATCGCGTGCGGTCACGATTGACGGGATACGAGTGAGCGCCCGGGCTACGTTCGCGAGAGAATGGCTACGAGTTACGTACGACTAATGACTACGACCACCGCCGCCACTCACGGACAGTGGTCAGGCGGGCCAGCGCGCCGCCGCCACTTGCTATGCTCTCTGCCAAAGATCAACAATTTCTCAAAGAGATAACAAACCATATTTTATTTTTAATCATTTAGAGCTTTTACTACAAAAAAAAAATATGATAACGATAATATCCAGATTCGATAATTTCAATCTGTTGTCTGTACAGTAGTATTATGTAAATACTAAATAGCATTTCATGATAACTGTTATGTAGGGTATTTGTTTTAGTTTAACCGGTGATTAAGTTTTTTTATAATTAAAATTTAATATATAGGTATAATTAATTTATACACCTAAAAGTAGTAAGACTTTGTAAAAAAAATCATGTAAATAAAATGTGTTAAATTAATTTCTATAATTTTCTCTCAGAGGCTAGACTTTTGTAGGCATCATACTCTAGTGCCCCGTATTACAACCCCAACCGGCGCGGGCGGGCGGGCCGTTCCCCACGCGAGCGAGCGGTACAACCCACTTATCAATTCACTCGAGTGGGCATTCATTCATTGTGGAGCATTGTGTCTAATGTCTATTATGCGCGGATTCGGTGCTTATTTACCCGTTCACTATTGCTACTCAGATTTTGTGAACTGTACAAAACTTTTTGTATAGAAATTATTATGATATATTTAACTGGGGGCTAAAATATTTTCTCAATGCTGGGACCTACTGTTTCTCTATGCAATTAATAAAAGCCATAATGACTCCATAGCTGCTCGAGGGCGCGATTTGTGATACGGTTGTTAAGCAACTTTCACAATGGCCGATCATAGGATGGGTTATCAAAAAATACAAAAATTTGCTCCAGAACGAACGTTAAGCCGTTGGTCCCTGCTGCATCTGCAGTCGTTAATACCCATCAATCCGCACTGGCCCGCTTGTTGGGTCATGATGCATTTTCCCTATTTGAGTCCATGCATAGGAAAGGTCTAAGCCCCCGCAGTGAGGAAATTAATAGGTTTGTAATAATGATATCGACTCAAATGTTCTTTTAAGAACTTTCGATGCACAGAGTAGTGTTCATATTAGACAACATCACACACACTGCTCAAATCCCAAATTAAGTAACTAAAACAATGGTTTGTATTATGGAAGCTTGAAACAATAAAGGTTAGTACCTTACGGAACTAAGCCAAAACCCGATACAATATAGAAAAGTTAAATTTCTATATTTACCCGACCTCGGTCGGAGCTGGAATCGAACTTGTTTAAAGTCCATAAGGTTTTCAAATTATCCAATACTTGGTTTTCGAAAGTACCAAGGGATGTTTCGAGCAATAAAATAACAAAACATTAATTTCATTAAATTTATTATTCAATAAAAATCTTAAATTATTATTTTTTGTCATTGAATAAATCTATTCATTCATATTGCAAATTTTGTGCGGATTGCTAATTTGCGTTCCAGTAATACAAAAATTTAAGGCAACAAATAGATATGCTGTGCAAAAACTTCCAGCACATTAAATCTTATCCTTTTGATTTTAGATACTGTCTTAAATTATATATTTAACGAGCTTGTTCTCAAACATAACGTTGGGCTCGATTCTGGTAGTCTGCTCACTATTCACACGCACATTTATTATTTATTTACTTACTTACAGTCCACTTAACTATGGAAAAAAAAAATAGAAATCACATGAGAAAAGAGGTTTCCCTTTCCAATTCAAATGGTTAAAAAATCTATACAGACTAACCTAAACGCTCCTTCTATTCTGAAGTCTGTTTATAAAAAGACATGTCTACAATTTGTTATTTTAATCAATTTATTATCAAATTGAGAAAGAGCACAGCAGAATCGAGCTTTAAATTAGGCATTAACACAACATAGACGACAAGAAAAATATTGTTTAATCTTCAGTGAAAATATAAAATCAAATCCCACAGATAGTTTGTATGTGATCATACTGAGATGAGTCGTGAATAAAATATACATGAGTCTGTCGTCTATGCATACCTTTAAGCGTAAGAAAACAGAAGATTATTAAGATGACCGACAATACATTCATATAAAACTTAACCGATATGATAAACTAAGGTAGAATGTTACAACTGAAGATCATTTAAAATGTATACCAGCCCCGCCACGTTTACGAAAAGTCGAATGTAGCATGTAGATTATCAGTCAGTACATTTGTTGGCGTCCAATCGGCAATCATTTCAATTCTAAACATTTCATCTTACATAAATAACATAAACATAACCTAATATAATCTGTAGTTAATAATTAGGGAATCAGCAAAATAGATCTTTTTGGAATATGATTCATATACTTCTCTGACATTTATTTAATCTTTTTTGATTAATTAAAAAAAAATGCTTACTAACAAATAATTACTCCGAAAGGAACATGTCAAGCAGATGCTTATTTTAAAAGTATATTAATTATATTATATAACACATATTCATAGTTTTTATTATAGTTCCATAGTTTCCTCCGTGTGCGTGTGAGATATAACGCTGCCTTTACCTCACCACCATCACGTTGCGGTCTAAACAAAGCGAATCACAAACAAAGTCATAGTAGAAAAGCTTCTTTGATTTAACTGAATACAGATTAATCATCAAGGGGAAAAAATTAGAATAGAAACCACCAATCGTTTGTATGGAAACCTATGTAGAAGGTTTACCCCCGCTTTGGATTTCTACAACTGCCTCACATTAGGGACGTCACAGCTTCATTCCTCTTGATTGTCAAGAGATGGCGCCAGTGTTCTAATTTGATGATTCTGCTTTAATCACAGTTGAACTTCACTTATTTATTGGTTACTGCTTTTAAGAATTTTGCCATGAAATGTTTTGTTCGGATTGTTTTGTATTTCAATCTTCTATCTCGTACGCTTGATCGACACTCATTCGTCAATCCATAACTGTGTGAGTGACTTTAGTTGTTTGTTGATTTAGCATTATCTTGATATAATTGCTTGTTGATGCAAAGATTCGTCAAAACTGCTGCCATACTGCCATTTTATGAATAAAACATATGAATCTTAATTTTCGTTAATTTTATTTCAGTTTCTACCTAAACTATGATTTATGTTAAGGTGCGGTGTTTGGATCTACTGCGTCTTCTTCCTAGTATACTGTTTGACTACGGCGAGGCTGAAGTTGCGCGGCTGTCAGGCGAGATGGGATAAATCATCTAGTTCAGGCGGCGGCTGCGGAGGCTGCGGCCCGCCGCGAGCAAACACAGGCTTGGCGACTACCGACACTGGAGCCTGCGATCACATATCATAAATTAACATATTTCATCGATTTCGATTGTGACAAAGTATGACTACTCTTAATAAAGTATGATTAAAGCGCGAAAGGTGTGTCGTGTAAATGTTATTGGATTACAGGATTATTCTAGACCAGGGTTCGGTAACCTACGGCTTCCGAGCCACAAACGGCTCTTTTGATGTAAAGTGGCGACTCTCAAATACTGAGAATGACTGACTGAGAGATAAATATTCATAGTCGTTTATTTTGGAATAAATCTCAAATATACCTAATACGAATACTATTGAAACGAAATCATTCTGTGGTTCTTTAAAAAATGGAAAATTTTGCCTATCTCACAAGTTGCCGACCCCTGTTCTAGTCCAGTGGGTCATAATCGATGGTCCCTGGAAGTGCCTCATTAAAAAATTTTTGCTTTATAAAAAAAACAACTATACACAATAACCTTAAGTATATAAAACGTATAATAATTCTTTATTTATTTAGACTTAGGTACAGCATATTAAACAAAGCGCCCGTTGCTTTTTATATTTGAGAAAAAAAACTTTTGCCTTCTCAATCTTCATTACTATTTTCATACATGCTCGCGGGTTATTATGGTTTCTCATTGGTTTTATCATTTAACAGCACGCGATCGATTTGATCGTGAAAGGCGTCTACTTATCCGACAAGTGGTGATAGTCCCTTTGACAGGGATAGTACAGTGAAATACACTACAAAACACTACGCAATGTTACTACAAGCCCATATAACATGGCAACTTGCAGCAAGTTTAGATGGAACTTTCTAGTTTCAGGGAGACAAACTTGCACTACGTTTGATACGGTAGTAATGATACTTGGGGCAAGTTTGATTTTCTTTGATTCTTAACCCAGTCATCATCCCTATTTCCTAATTTAAAAGTCTATCGCAATAATTTTGGAATTATTCAAATCGAGTACCCGAGTACCTGCCATGTATTCGAGTCAGTACCTAGGGAAATATCATAACTACCGTATCAAAGGTAGTGCAAGTTTGTCATCCTGAAACTAGCAAGTTTGATTTAAACTTGCTGCAAGTTGCCAAGTTTAAATTGCTATCTGGGAGGGTAATTTTGCTCAATTTTGATGTGCAAAAGTGAATATTTGAATATTTTAGCACCATCGATTGACTTTGCTAGAAAATAGAATGCATATTTAACAGCACCGACTATCGAGCGAGTTTTATACTTTATATATTAATTTGTGATTGTTGAGTTAAGAGCTTGTCGTGTAATATTTTTGTGGCCAAACTATAGTGCAAATTTTAATGCAAATGGTAGTGGAAGGTTAGTTAGTTTATTTACAATGTATTATAAAAACAGGCAAATCGCACACCAAAAGTTTCGTACAGATATTATAATCAGACTCCTTATAGTCTGACAGGTCGTGATAAAATTATACAAGTACTACTTTTTTGCTATCGTAAGAGTTTTAGTTGAGTACAATTAAAGTTTATAAACTCATTGCGATATGTCACACTATCTATGAACGGTTCGTTACTTCCGCATTTAGGTACTTTTGGACAAAATTATTTGGTAAACGATAAACAGAAAAAAATCAGTGCACATAATTTTTCTTATAAAAATAGTTTTCTTTACTGAAAAATAAATAATTTTAACTTTTCTTGATTTGGTTTTGAGCGAGGCTATAGGAACTTTGGACCCGCAAGTAACATGTGTCTGTCGTATCATGTACAGTACTTTGAGATAAATAATGGACATCGGCTAACTTCGTATTTCCGAAGATGACCGGCACATCTAAACAATATATAATGATATAGAGCTGCTTTAGACACTTTATGAACCTATACAGAATACAAATACTAATTGAAAATATTACATCAAAACAAAACACGACGCAGGCTTACATCAGCTTAGTTTAGTTCTACAAAACTGACTCCGTAGCCGAGTGGGTTGCACGCCGGTTTCAATATGTCCCCATCTCTGTGGTCCCGTTTCGATTCCCGGACGGGTCAATGTAGTAAATGAACTTTTCTATATTGTCTCGGGTCTGGGTGTTATAGTACCTTCGCTGTCTCAGATACTCCATAATACGGGGGCTTTAGCTACTCACCTTGGAATCTGAGCAATGTATGTGATGTAGTAATTTTTTTTTTTTTTGTTTATAAAAAAAAAATCTTTTTTTTTATGTCGTTGACATTTATTTGATTGCAACAAAGTTGAAATTGTTAACGATATTAGGACCAAACTACTTATTGTTGACGTTATTTGTATTATTCTTAATACAAAATGCTTAAAAGATCTACTTGGTCCCTGGCACCCTGAGATGGGAATAATTTTCAGTGAATGCAAAATTAATCAAAATATAGAAATTAGAACAAAATTCTCATCTTTATCGAAATTTCAATATTTATAACAATATTTCTTTCGGCTGTTTGGGTGGATGCCTGAACATTGATGAAAATACGCTCTGTAGTAGCGAAAAGTAACAAGTGCTTGAAAGATTCGTCAGTCCTGTTGGGTCCTGGGTAGTTCCTGGGTAGGTAAAAAAGATTTTTTTACTACCGTATCAAAGGTAGTGTAGGTCGAGGGTTTGATTCCCATCTCAGGGTGCCAGAGACCAAGTGGATTTTTTAAGTATTTTGTATTTAGAATAATTTTCAGTATGGCATTGTGAATTGTATTATCAGACGATTGTTTCCGATGGCCAATATTTAACTCAAAATACTGTATTGTAAAGTACCGACCTGACTAACAGGGCCGGACTGTGAGGCGGGTGCCTGCGGTGGCATGCCGACCACAACCACTTTTTGGGTCGGCGCCCCTGCCGCCGGCCCGCTCGTCACCACCACCGACTAAGGGAACATGCGCACACTGTAGCTAACAAACTCCAACACAACCTTATTCATCTAAACCTTCAATGATCATGCAATCTTATAGATAGACCGCGCAAACACTTCTTCAGTGATATTCACTAATGTCAATACGTTGCATCAATCATAAGATTTACCGTCAATCTCACCTCAAACTCACTTTAAAATCATCCCTACGAAAACAAAACAGTATTATAAATATAAGAATTTCCTGAATCCTACCTAAACGATGGTTAAACACAAAATATAACTAAACTTAAATCTTTGTATGAAAGTATATATTTGTTTATGAATTTAGTAAATGTAACGATAAAGTTTAAATAATTTTCTAATTATCTGATATTAAGTAGTGTATAATTAAAATAAATCGTGCTATATGGGCACATAACTTAAGATGCACTTTGCATGCGAAAAATATAAATGATAATTATAAATAAAAAAGCCATACAATTATTAAGGCTCTCTTGATATTTCACCATGCATCACTACATAATTCGAAAAAGACATGGAAAGTATCACTCGTAATTACCTACGGGAACTGATTTGAATTCTCTATACTTATTTTCGAAAAATGAGAACTTAGCAGCATTCATTGAAATCAAGTGCCAATCAAATGCATAATTAGTGACATTGTCATATAATATTTTAGTACGTGCTAATTTATTTTTCAATGTGTGTGTACATGCAATGTTTTATGAACTGTGCATGTCATGTTATTGAAAATAAATTTCTTTTATAAATGTAGAAATGTTTATCATACCTGCACATTTTGGCTACGAACGATGGCTGGTTGTGAGCTGTGCACGACGATATGTCCAGTGCCGCTAGATGACTGACTCTAGCGTAATAAATTAAAATAAAGTTTTAATAATTATAGCAATAAAATTTTGTTACCGCGCATTTCAAAGAAGGGAATAAATTTCTAATAATAAGTCAACTGTAAATAAAACAAGACAAAGTGTAATGTAGTTAAAAGTATCGTAAACGGTCATCATACCTAATTCGGTATATTCACACACTGCTAAAACAAGAATTAATGAAATATACTTGAAAAAAATATATACTAAACATATTCTATATTTTTTGTTTATCACAATCAAGTTCTTTGTTATAGTAAATATTGACAAATATAATTTTGTAGCCAAAAGCTTTGAAACTTCTATCTAGATATTGATCTATTAACGTATAGCTCAAACTTCTGAACGGATTGAGCTGTTTGGCACAATAATACCTAGTTTTAATTGACATTAGTCAAAGGCGACATACCGATATAAATTTAGAACATTCATTAGAGCTAAAAGTCGTTATTAAACCTAAAAGCCAATTCTGCTGAAGTAGATAGTACAATGGTCAAATGCAAGTACTTGAGATTCTATTGAGATGCGATTTTTACTTAAACATTAGCAAAATTGCCCTGTGAAACGTTTGTGCAGCTGGGTTTAAGTTATTTATTACATAAAATTTTGCTAAAGATTTTGTAAAATTCAATTCCTACAAGTATTAATATGAGTCAAAACAGCGGGTAAGGCGGCGGGCGCTAAGATAATTTGTACAATAGCTTTCCGCCAGCGGCTTCGCCTGCGTGGTTTTGTATTATACATAAAAACCTTCTTTTTGAATCACCCTATGTATGAAAAAAAACCGCATCAAAATCCGTTGCGTAGTTTTAAAGATTCAAGCATACATAGGGGCAGAGAAAGCGACTTTGTTTTATACTATGTAGTGATGTGATATAAGCGCACCATATGTCCTTACCGGTTGTGCCTTCTGTTGCGAAGCGACAATAACGAATTTCTGTGGAGGCGGCGTCGCCGGCGCCGGAGAATGCGGTGCCGGAGACGCAATCACTACGTTTCTGGTAGCAATTGTTTCTGCGCAATATATATTTATTTATTGCATTTCACAAAGTACAAAGTATTTACAGTTCATTACATATATATTATGTATAGTTAAAAACTCCAATAAAAACTAGAGTTTTAAGAATAGGGAAAATGCTATTTCTTTATATGATAATTTGTAGTTACGTAACGGGAAAAAAAATAACCGGCGCCGTAAAACTAAAATTAGTAACAAATATAAATAATAAAATTAAGTAACAACTACGGGTACCTATTTTAAACGCCGGAATTGTTGGCCCGCTTGTCATGACGTTAAATTCTACTACGTATTATGTTTTTAATCAAAATCGATTTTATTTTTTAAATAATCGATGTAATCTTCATTTAGTAATCATTTAATTTACCAAATTGGTATAATATTATATTGGTATATAATAGCCTAAAATATCATTTAAATTATAATATGTTGTTTATTTTGCTAAATAATAAATTGATGTTTTTGCATGGATGTAAACTTTTTGTAACAACAACATCCCTATACTTAGACTTTGTCGTCACATCCTCTCTGACGAGTAGAATCGACTTTGATTCATTTTTAATTTACCGCATTTTTGCACTCTTAAATAGTTTATTTTCAGAAACGAAACAATATTACAGCGGTATATACATGGTCATTATTCTAATAGCAATAATGTTTATAATAAAATATATTTAACCCTTTTTTTAATGTGCGTGATGCCTCTAATGCATTGTAATTTCCACTTAATGACTTTAGAAACAAGACTCAATGTAAATTTTGGCCACCGTCGGAATTGGTACGTTTGCTCCCCACCATCATTCTATGAATGTTCCCATTACTGAGACATAGGCCTCCATATGGATGGAATTTAATAGCGAGAATGGGTCAATATCCACCACGCGGGTCCAGAGCTTGACTTAACCTGTCTTCCGAAGTATCGAGGAGCTCAACATAATAATCTTTTGGTCACCCATCTTATGATAGGCAATAGCGAAACTTGCTTCACAACCATATCGCGGCCCAACGCGCTAAAAATTGCGACATTGAGCTCGCCACAACTACAATACAACTTGCTTTTGACATGTGCATACATACTCACCAAAGACAATTTAAACACTATCGATGTTATTAATAAACAAGGTTAAGCGTTGGAGTAAATTTACGCTGAGATGAGACTGCACTTAGTATTAGTCAAAATTCATATTATTAAACAGAGACTTAGGAAAGGTTAACCTAGTACGAAGTTCTACGGGAGTAATATCTATTCCTAGAAGTAAATTTACTCTAACGCTAAACGTTGTTTATTAATAGCATCGTATGGAACTTACCAACTGGTTTAGACAGGTGAGCGGGGGAGGCAGGAGGGGCGGGCGCGGGAACCAGCGGCGGGGTACAAGTGACCACCGCCACTGCAGCGCCTCCGCCCGCGCCACCTGCCGGCGACGAGCGCAGCTTACTAACCATCTGTTGCAAGCTCGGCCCTAAATAACCGTAGTCACGCCTGCAAAGAAATTACCCATCAGCGACAGTAGCAAACGCTGCAAATAAGTACTGTGTGAATTACTAGCTCAAACAGCACGTACAGTAATCGAGAGTTCGACATCCAATTCATAGTCATGCTCATAACGGGAAAAAAATATCTACTGATAGAGTAAAATTCATACAATTTTATAAGCAAAAAATGTTTTTATGGATATGTATATTGAACTCATTTTCCAAACTCCCCTTCATCATACTGTATTAATTTCCAAATCCTTTACCCTGATTGCTATTCGTTTGGAATGCTTTACCACATTGTTTGTTTGAACGCGCTTATCTCAGGAAGTACTGGTTCGAATTGAAAAAAACCTTTTTGTGTTGAATAGACCATTTATCGAGGAAGGCTTAAGGCTATATAACATCACGCTGCAACTATTAGGAGCGAAGAAATAATGGAAAAAGCGGACGAAGTCGCTGGCGGCCACTAGTTTATTTTATATATATATATCTATTACTATATTACTGTGTATGTATATCATTATTCAGTATGTATATTGATTTATTTTGCTTTTTTATTTTTATCGCCTTATAACTAATCTTTTCAGGATGACTGGCAGAGAATGCTCAAGGCAAGTCCGCCCCTTATGTTTTTTTTGCAAATTAGAAAAATTATATGTATTTGTATGATTGCTGTCTTTGTATTTTTCTGTTGTTGTTAATTCTTTATTAATTTTCTGTAAGTTACTTATGTACGTGTATCAAATACATACATTTTCACTTTAAAATATTAGTATGTAATGGTAGTTTCTAAAAAAAAAACAAAGACTAAATGAATGTAATGCAAAGACTTAATAAGTAGTAAATGTATCGATCACGGCATTAGCGCCGGCTCTTCGTGCGTGGCATATCACGCGACGATCTAATTCAACGAGGGGTGCATCGCATGCCGCACCGCCCAACTTGATTTGCGAGTTACAAACAAACTACTACTGTACATTAAACTTAAGGCAAACACATAACGACTATAAATAAATCTACACTTCTACACTTATATTATAAAGAGGTTAAGTGTCTAACTTTGTTTGTAGATAATCTTAAAATTTTTTCATCTACGGGAAGCTACATCATACGCGGGTGATATAGGGTATAATTTATGAGGGCAAAGTCGCGGGAAAACAGTTGGTACATTATAAAGAGGAACGATTTGGTTTTATGTTTTTTTTATGGATAAACTTGAAACTATAGGACTTCTTCTTCCTTGCTCTTTTCCACTTTAGGTTGATTCGACTCTCTTAATCCTTTTGCGCCACGACAATTTGTCGAGGCTTTTCGGGTCAGGTAAGTCTTCTTTGGATATAAGTCTCGTCATATTTGACCACCATATCAATCGCGGTCCTCTGCCCCTCTTTATTCCAGCTGGTTTAGACTTCTCTTGACAACGTATCTCAGACGACTATCGGTGAGCTTATCGTCTAACGGTGCTATCTTGAGGTTGCCAAGGATGTTTTCTCATTTTGTCCAATCGCGAAACCCTTCGGTCAGGGTAAAAAAGAAGATCTTATTTAGTCCATCAGTCAGATAATAGAAAATGTTAGATACGTATTTTTTTTTTTTACTTCAATTTAACAAGAAATAGCTTAGATAATATGCATTAAAGTTGAGAAGTGGGGGTTCGCTACGTCAGTTTTATAGAAAATGTACAAAAGCGTTACGTCATGTCACATTTTAACTCAATTTATCTCCGTAATTTAATGTATACGGAAAAAAATAAAAAATACTCGTTTAATATTTCTCAACAATCTACCTGACGGACATAAAACAGAAATTAGTCGTCATCCCTATTTTCTGGGACAGTCCCAATTTTTGATAATACTCGACAATCGCTACATTCGCACTTTAGGTATATCAGAACCTGCCGCGATACAATCCGCATCCTAATAGTTACCCTCCGCTTGATTTCGCGTCCGCCATCCTACTAGTATTTTCTTTAATAACCATGATATGGTCTGATGTCTCAAATCGGTGTAAGTCCCGTAAATTGTTTAAGCGCTAGAACCTTGTCTATATAACACCCGAATGACGTCATTTAAAAATAGAAAGTATCGATAGTACAAACTGAATAATTATAAGCTTGTCAATTTATTGTATTAATTTTTTGACAAGGTCAATTTATATGTTAATATTGAGGAATATGGTAAATAAATAAACTATAATATTTACTTTGTAATAACGCAAAAACAAACTGAAAGGACATTTTTTTAAATATAGCGCAAAGTAATAATGAAATAAGTGACATACATATTAATTTATAGTGGAATAAGGTTGTTATGAAAAATAGCAATCGAAAACAACAAAAATTGTATGTAATCTCACCACAACACAACTCATTAAGTGTACTCGTCAACCAGTGTTTATTTGTCAACGGTACTGATTGTTGAACGCAATTACGTCACCAAAATGGCGGCCAGGGAATTATACTCAGTCGATTTGATTAAAGCAGAATTACTAATTTCGTTAAATATAAACTAGTATTGTTTGGAGTTTATTCATGCATATAAAATTATATGAGATTAATGTACGTGGCACGTGATATAAAATATTCTTGGAAATACTTGAAGTAATTTAAAAACACGACTATCAAAAGCAAACAAAAAAAATATAAGTTCCATGTTTTAAGGCTATTTGTTACCTAAAATAAAATAACAAAACAAATAAAAACAGTGAAGTCCGGTGGCAAATGCTACCCAAAAGGCGGCAACCCTATCTCCGTCCGGCCCGCCTGAGCATCTTTATTTCAGCTGTATGGAATTTTTGCACCGTTTGTGCTTCACTCAGCTCCGTACGCCGGACATAACATTCATCTTATTTACTTTATCGTTACTAGTACATATCAGCAATCGCTAATTCTGCAAACCTACGATAACTTCTTGGGTCACATCTTCCTCTATGTTACAGTTCTCGGTAATAAGAGATCCGAGGTACTTGAAACGTGCCACTGTTGGAAATGTAACGTCCGTGCACATTACTATAGGTAGGTTTACTCTCCGGACGATTTATGGTCAATGCTGGTCGCTAATATCTTGTATTATTACTTTATCGCGTGTTCGTTTTTTGCTGGTTGATAATCTTTTTTTTCTGATCGAGACCGGCATAGAGTTAGTATCTTAGAGTTTAGTTGTAAGAGATTTGATATATATTATTTGCAAATGAAATCGAAAGTTAGAAGAATTGCACAAGGATTTCATTGAACTACCCACCATTAGAGTAGTGCAACGTTGGTCTGCGCCTTCGAGAACGTTAACTCGTCAGTGCAGGGTGTGTTGAAGTTCGTTTGCTGTGTTAGCGATGAGAACTATATCGTCCACATATAGAAGACCGAATTAATTGAGAAAAATCTTTTACCAATTTGTTGCCACATTATCAGCGACAGCGAGTAACTTATTCATTTATTTTATAATAAATGTTAGGGCTTAGCAGATATAAACTGTTGGAATTGAAATTAAATAAAATGCCACGAATATATCACCGGACATTATATAACATACAGAATCAGCTTCGATTCCCAGGCCGATAAGCATTTGCTAGAGTCGAAATAACTCAATCACCTCAATAACGAGGATGACAAAGAAAATAGCGCGACAAACGGAGCTTAGGCTTATTATGTAAGTCATACAAAAAGTGCGTAATTTATGGAAATAAAGATACAAGATGGCGCATACGTGACCCAAAATACTTTGGCACCACGTCCTGTGTCCAAAGAGGCATCTACTACGGGGTGGGTTTTGAGTTCACAGGTTTTTAACTACGCGGACACTAACCTCTTTCGCGCGTTTTCGCTAATGTTTAATTAGAAACTAATTTATTTAATAAACAGAGATTACTACATAGGACTTACTTATATTCGTCTGGCACGTCGGGCGGTTGTCGCAACTGTCGGACAACGGGTGCCAGCACCTTCAATAGTTGCTGCTTGAGATTGCCCGCTGCGAGCCGGTCCGCGCCACCGATACCGCTCAGAGCACCCTCCACGCGCTCGCCCAACCATCTCACTCGAGGCAGTATGAACACCTTGGGCATAAACGGTAACAAAAGTCAAAATCAAAACCTAAAATTATTTATTCAGTCTAGGCTGTTATAAGCACTTGTGAAAGTCGAAAGCTACGCCATCGGTTCGTAAATCTACGGCGGGAGACCTTGTACCGAGAAGAACCGGCAAGAAATTAGGCAAGGGCTGCTTTTTTCTCCCTGTTTTATTTCATACAGAGCGTGAAGATTAACAAATGACTTCATTAAAATATGAAGTCACTTTCCATTACAATACTCAATATTTACAGTCCTCATGTATGAGGTTTTTTATGTAATGTAAATTATTTAATTCTTTTAACTGTATCAATAAACCTTTGTGACTACACATCACATACTTATTCAATTTTTCTTTATTTTTTTTACAGTTAGTCAACTTACGGGTTGTAATGATAAAACAGGTTTTATGACTATTTAATTACCATTAGTGTACCATTTTGATATTCATCACTCTGGGCTTATTAAGTATTGCATCCCATAAAATGAAAAAAAAAAGTAAAATATAATCCAATATTGTGTAATCCAATAATATGAATAGAAAAAGTAATACATAATCCAATATTAACTTAAGATTGATTAAAGTGAAAAAAAGAAAAGATTGTTTTCTACGATATATACAAGTATGGCTTGTGCCACCTCTAAAAGTCATACATAACAATACAAAACAGATACAATATAATTTAGAAAAAAAAAATATTTTGATTTGTTATCTCATTTATCTTACTTTTTATTAGGAAAATAAAAAATGAATTAATTTAAACTTTGAATTAAACGTCATAAAAAAACCTTTATAACTTCAGGTCCCAGTTCTGCTAATCCTTGGACAGCACCATACAGTGATGCCAATGGTGTCTTCTCAGACTCCTTCATACTGGCCATAGAAGGCCCTACACCAGTTTCGTTATTTGTTTGCGATGGACACTGTAGAGCTTTAGCAAATAATCTAAAACAAATTACAGAGTTTAAGTTTAATTGCCCAAAACATGGATTTAAATTAAGTAATATTATTAAAGGCTCTAGGGTATGTTCCGATATACACTGCGACCACTGAACAGTATGAGGTCAATTTAGTATACTGGAAGCCCGTTCCTTTATAGCTAGTTATACTGGTGACTTTTTAAAACGGAACGCAGTCCAGTATACTGTTAATCCTATTTTTGGCGCCATTTTCAAATTTGTTAATGCAAGGTGAATATAAATATAAAGATTCCCTCTTTTCAAAAGAAAATATTATAAAATTGGAAAATTGTATAAAAAAATTATTTATCAATTAAATCCATCTTATAATAAACGCAAGTATTTTATTTTATCTGTTGCGACTGATCACGTGGTCAAAAGCACTGCGAGCACCTTACCTCAAAATCTCCAGTGCTCACAGTACAAATATGGCGGCAATTCATGACGTCATAAATTTCCCTACGGTACTGTAGCAGTATACTGGCAGTCCATAACAGAACGGATTTTTCAGCAATAAGACCACTGCGCAGTGCTCGCAGTGTATATCGGAACATACCCCTAATTTTTAATTTACTTTAATAAACTTTACCGTGTCACTCTTGTTTGTAAGTTATTTGTGGAAGTGTTAAAAGTCTTGCATATTTGTGCCATCAGACGTGCTGCAAAATCTCTAAGCGCCCAATGATTGTCCATTTCTGGCCTTAGGCACAATTGTCGAGACACAATACACGTAGACACTGCTGGTATCAGTTCGTGTAACTGTAAAAATGATAAAATTCCAAAATATCCTCTATAAATTTCTCATATCATCTTGCACACTATCCGTAATTAAACAGTTTCACCACATTTGTATTTAGTTGTTTCAGACCTACAGATTCCCTGTACACATAAGACTAAGAGGTTGATTGACATAAATACAAACACAATAAAATCTTTAAGTTATTTCATTTGATCCTCTATAACCTATTAAAAGTATATTATAATAACAATATTTGCATGCCTGATAACAGATACAATATTGTACTTATTTAATGATTATTTGTGTACTTTAATGAATTTATGTTAAAAAAAAAAAACAATTATTGTCAAAGCCTTCAAATTACTTCACTTCTCTTGCTCAAAAAGTCCATTGTTGTATGAATAGTGTACCAAAGTGTGGCTAAATTGTATTTCCTGATTTAGGAAATCTTTTACTCAAAAAAATAGCTTATTGGCTCATTTTATCCCTTGAGTAAATAACTTATACTTTTAAAACTACTGTTAATAACTTATATAAAATATTGGTTGATCAGCATTTTGTACTTACATATTTTTCCAGGTATAAAGACTGATTATCGAGTAATGCTTTTACCATTCTCATAAGGTAAATCAATAGAGCCAAATTGTTTTGGACAACATTAACTTTGACACCTTCAGAAATAAATGTGCACATCCGTGGTAACATCTCATGTAATCCAGGATCACAAGCCAAAGATTGTAAGGCTTCCTGTAAAGAAATATACTTCCTTTAGACTATTTTAGATAAAGCATTTAATTTGGTAAAACAATTAAAGTGATAAGAAAAGAGTTTTAAGGAAATAACATTAAGAGGTTAAAGGTTAGCTGATAAATAAAGCCTCAATAAACAAAAATAAATATTACTATATTTGATTAATTTTGCATTCACAATGCTGATAAATATTGTTAATAAAAAAAACCTCTGGGAGTCAAAATATTATCATTTTGTTACAAATATGATTTCATTGTGAGACCATATTTAGACAAATATGCATGCCATTGAATTTATCAGATATTGAATTTATTAGTTATTTACAAAATTAAAGTATTTTGCTATATTAATATTTGTCTACAAATCAAACTAAATCAATGAAACAAATCCATATTAATAGAAAAAATTAAAGGCAATAAAAAAAGATTAATTTTAATCGTAAATAAGGATTATTTAAAAGTAGACAATATAAAAATATTATATACCACTCGGCGAATTTCATCACTCCCAACACAAGTCTCAGTTATTTCCTTATAGTACAACTGTTGTTCAACACTCAGTTCGTGTGTAGCGAGTTGCTTCACATGAACAGACTCTGATGCCTTAAGACGAGCAGCTTTGCCACACATTGGTTTGCCTGTTGTATAAAACAAATCCTATTAATATTATAAATGTGAAAGTTTCTTTGTTTGGATGTTTGACAGTCAATAATGCCAAAACTACTGAACGGATTTTGATTAAATTTGGTATACACATAGGGTATTAGCTGACTTAGATAAAAGGATATCTTTTATCTCACTAAACATTTCACTAGGGACCATGCATAATATAAAAATAATAGTTTGATTGTTTATTTTATTTTCTTTGGAAAATATACAGTATCTTAATACTAGAGTAGTAACTAAATATAGTATAAATGTACATAGTAAAAAGTTTTCGCATATAAACACTTATGTATTTTATTTGCATGAAGCATATGTATATATACAACAAATAAGGAAAAATCAGAGATAACTATAAACTACTGAAACATTATCAGAAATTAATTAGTTTACTATTAAAAATGTGAAATGTGGAATCTACCAAATTACTAAAGCTTTTTTGCTCAGCATACAAAGAATAAGTTTTTCTTATAATTTGTGTTCCAAAGTCTCAAAAAAAAAAGAAATAAATAAGAAATCAGTAAAATATAAATTTAAATTACCAGCAGCATCTTCATTAGACGGTTTGCTGAGTTTACTGACTGGATCAACTGATTCAAGCTTTTGAGCCTCTTTACATAAAGGAGGGGGATTTTCTGGTACAGTGGGCTGTACTCCATCCACACTTAACCAATGTGCTCTTACTGAAACACCCAATGGCACCTTAGGAGGAGGGGCTGATAGGATCTCTGATAAATCTATCTCTTTCTCTTCAACAAAATGAAGTTCTCGACCACCACCAGATGCAAATCTAAATGGAAGTGAATCTGGTTGGATAAAGCCGTACTGAGCCTGGAAGAAATACAAAGATTTTAGAATTATCTCAATTCAAAAATTACAAGTTTTCTATGAAAGTTAACATTTGATTACCTCAATATTTTTCATGTTGAGAGCGTGATCGATATCAGTAATGGATAACTTTTGTCTCTTTGAATGATGCATGAATTTCATAGCATCTTGAACGATTACTTTAAGCCGATATGATACGTCATCGGCTATTTCTTTAGCAGCATCATCTCCGAGGTTTCCTATGCCAACACTTTCTGCAATAACTTTCATGGAATCGAGAGATAATGATGAACCGTAAGCGAATTCAGAGTCACTCATTTTTGACACCTATGATTTTCAATATTCAAGACATTAAATACCTATAAATCACCAAAAATTATTAGACAAATCATTGATAGTTATGAGAAGAATGACTAAAATAAAGAAGAAAAAATAAACAAAATATCTTTCGCATATATTTGTTGCTCTCAAATTGGCAAAGACAACAACGCCTTTGACTTTTATTTTCTTTTGGATAGGGATTCCAATCTCGATCCGATTTCATCGGAAATTGAAATTTTTGGTCTCTACCTTCTAGTTTTTGGATTTATTTTTTTGCCGTCCAATCAATCTCAAGATCGTCTCGAACGAATAGATGAAAAATCTTCTATTTTGAAGTTTATTTGTATCTCTGATATTGTTTATAACGAATTTATCTATTATTTTCCTTATTAACTTAGGCAACAACATAATATTGACATAACTAATATCAGTTTAATGTAATATTTGGATAATACCTCAATAATTTAGATAAAAAAGTCTTTGTGTGATATTAGGAGAATATTCCGAAAGAACAATGGCCATCTGCCTAACATGCTTGGACTAGTAAAATTGAATAAAACGTAACTTGATGAAACATATGTTATTTTGTTTGCCTATGCAACTAGAACAAAGAAAGACATTAAATATATTTTTAAAAGCTGGGAGTATCGAGTAATTGTGTAATATGTTTTTGAGGTTATGTCGTATTATTTAAACTGTAGCATTTTGAGTTAGAGGTATTACAGTTGAAATATGTAAAGCACACGTCAGATAATGCCTAATCGTAATCCTAGAAGTGCATACTTTCACATAATACTTCAAACTTGCTCCATATCTGATAAATTATTTTTATTGACTGTAAGAAATAAAATCATTTTTTGTGAACCAATGAACTTCAAAAAATATAATAGAATTTTTAAGATTGCTCTCAATAACTCTACTTTTCTATCTTACACTATAACTTATATAAAGTAGTAGTGAAAATACTAATTCCAAAAGGATATAGCAAAACAACATGTTGATTTTTCTTTTCTTTATTACAACTCTAATGAATACGGAATCCTGCAGGAGCAGCTATATTCTGTTCGGGTCTGGCCCATCCAAGATACCAAACTATGATCATCATATGAGCACAGCATCCCAGTGTACATCGACCAATTAGTACACATAATATTGTTTCCTCCCAATGTCTCGACTTAATTCTACCGATACGACTTTATTTATATTTAAGTCTAATTCTAATAAATCCAGAAAATCCGGTATTTCTCTCCAGACCTCAATTCTATACTTCCCATGGATCCTAGTATGCTCCCATAATACAGAATACAGAACTCATCATAATACAGAAGATAATACAAAATCACCGCCAAAATTACGAAACGGTCTGCGTAGAAACCGTCTACACATACTTGTCTAAAAAGAGAGGTCGCAATCGACTGCATATTGTAATATCGATTCTTATGAATAATCATTTGTTTTTAATTTAATTATAAAAAATTATTTTCCTCTAAGTAACATCTAATTATATTAGTAATCTAATCTAAGTTTTATAATTTTCACGGATTTATATGGTTCTTAAATAATATAAGATTCGTATCAAATTCGATTAGTCAGAAATAAAATCAATCTTGTTCTTTGAAAAGAGAGGGACTTCTCTAGGAATGACATTATTAATAAGATGCGTTCAAAAATAACATAATTTAAACTGCGTTCTAAAAAAATAAAGACATATTTTAAAGAGGATTATCTTTCTTTTCCCAGCTTTTAAAAATAAATTGTTGGTACATAATAATTACATTCAACTTATACTACATTTTGGTGATAGTTCCATCTTGGTACAAGAACTTTTTTTTCGTAGTCCATTTTGACCATTGTTTTTTATCAAATCAATCTTTACGTCATCGCTATTTTTCTCAAAACCATCTATTTAATTCGAATCGATTCCCAATAAAACTTTTTTTGCTATATATGTGAAACCCTACACATGTAGCCTTGTGTAAAGAATTAAATTAATTTCATGTAACTAATTTCGTAATGTAAACCTATAGATTTTGCATACCTAGTAGATACGCCTTAAATAATAGATACAGCTACTTTATATCCATACAAAAATATAACGAGAAAGAATTAAAAACAACATAAGTTTCCGAAATAAAACTAAATATCGCTATGTACTTACTGTACGTAGCGACATCTGTACTTTCTTGATTTCTCTATCTCCTTTCTGGTTTTCTTTCATGTATAGCAGTAATTGAATCTGTTGTCTCTTACTTAATTATTTTAGAATGCGCTATACGCCTATAAAGGCACTTTATTAAAACTAGTCCATTATCTTTATACGCACCCTTACGCTTCTTTGAATTAGCGCGTTAATAAATTAGCGCCTTAATTAACACGTTAAAAAAACATCGTTAGTCTTTAGCACGTTAATGATTTTTAGTCGTTTTGAACACTTCTGGTCCTGTTCTGTTCTGTGTCTGTGTCTATGTCCGCTTTGTGTCTATGTCCGAATGCCGATCTTTTACCCCACGCGATTTCATTTTGTGCAAAAATAATTGTTATTTCCGTTTGTAGTTTGGTTATTAAGGTGAAAATGTATAGAAATAAAAAGGACGTTGACAAACACGTGGAGAATTTGATATCCAAACTCTCGGTAAAAGAGGTACGTACGTTAAGTTTGATCTGGATTTTAACGATCAGTTTGAAGGGTTATGGCGTTTACAAGATTTACTCATTTTCAGTTCAAGACTCGAGCATATTCCGTGGCCCGATTATATTACGAAGTAGGCGATTATGCTAGCTGTCAACGTTACGTTGAGCAATATCTCACCCAAAAGGATAATAATGCAGCGGCATACAAGCTTCTTGGTCAGGCATTGCATAAATTAGGGCAAAAAGAAAAAGCCCTTGAACAGTATAAAACATCTCTTGATATAGATCCAACTCAAACAAGCACTATATTGGACAGTAAGTTGAAACATAGTGTTGATATATGACTTATTTTCTACATGAATCTACATTCATGGAACTTACTTGCCTAGTTAGATATCTAACATATTTTATTTATATTTTCTTTTATTGAACTTTTTACCAAAAGTAAATCATGGTGGTTTATTGCTCGTTCTTCTTATCAGTAAAAAGAAGCCCTGGACGTAAAAGGTTGGGAAAAAATGTTGGATGATTCAAAATTATTATAAATAAGTTAATTTGAATAAATATATTTTGACTTTGATATTCTGAATTTTGATCATAGTCAAATTCAAAGAAAAATTATGTTGATTTAACTTTTACTCATAAAAAATATATCCTTTAAAATCATAAATGTGCTGCAACAACTACAATAATAAATGAAATAATTTCTTTCTTACAGTTTGTGAACTTCTTGTTGATGATGAAATCAACATTGACTTAGGGCGTGCCAAATACTGGTGTGAAAAAGCCGAAGCCACATTCCCACGTCATCCCATTACATTTAGATTACGGGAGAAACTGGTTTCTGTTTCTAACCCCAACCCTGAGGCACTTGTTAACTTATTAACAGCTGAATTGGCAATCAGCCCTAAAGATCCACTACTTCATGCACGTCTTCTTAAACATTACATCCACACAAATCAAATTAAAGAAGCAGTCAATCATAGTTGCAATGTGGAATTTGGTGAGAAGACTTTTAGATACAATTATGCATGGTATGAAACTTTAGCTGAACTTTTGAAGCACAACTCACATAACTATAATGACTGGTTATTCCAATTACTACTGCTAACAGTCAGAGAACGTATGTGCATTTTGAGTTTAACTGACATGCCAAGTTCATCTAAAAGTTTGAATGAAGCCAATGAGCTTATATTTCTTTATGATCAGGACATTGAAAAAGTATCTAAAGCTGGAGTCACACCTGGATTTGGAGAATTTCATGCTAGTCTGTTGCAACATCACAGGGGACAATTTGTTTTCCATGCAGCAACATTATTATTAAAGAAAGCAAAAAAAGACCAGTTAAGTTGGAGCCTTGCTACACAATGTGCAGGGCCTTTAATGTTAATGGCATGGCACATAGCACCTAACAATATCAAAGCAAACTGGTTGTCTAATGCTCCTGAGAAACAAAAGCAGGCAGCACACCGATGGTATTATGAGGGAGCATACAGATGTTCACAGGCTGGGCATTATTTAATATCAAACAGTAGGGATAAAAATCAATCTTATGTTGATCAAATTTCACAATGTTGTTCAGGAACTCATTGGAGAGACAAAATGTATGAAAAACTATTTACTTCAAGACCTCATTTAGCCAAAATAAAATCTTCTCATTTTGTAGCATCTGGTACATATAACGCTCCTATTTTGAGGCTGCCAAGAAAAACTGAAGTAGAAGCTTTTGATGCTGAAGCTCAAATGGAATATCCTAATTCACTCCATCATTTTGTTTGGATATTACTCCATTATAAAAATTTTGCTCAATTCAAGTGCAGCATTTTTGATGCCTTGACACCTAGTGCAACTAATACTGGCCCAGAGTCAATGAATAAAATTGATATTCAAGCCTTCCTTTACTGCTCTGCATTGACATCAAAACAACAGAAACCAAATAATCTACATTATGTTTCCTCTGACAAACCAATCATATTACCTGCTAATATAACAGATTTGTTGTGTACTTTATCTCAATTAAAATGGTGGGACTGTGCATACAAATTTAGTCAAAATGAGTTGGGAACAGAATTGACTGATATTCGTGGAACATTAAGTAGAGGCATAGAAGTGGTAAGATGTATTGATTCTCATGGTTTGGATCCAGAGCTGCTATGTCAGCTTGGTAGAATTTTCAGTGAAAAATCTAAACTTGCCTCAGAAATTGAAGAAAGAAATAATCTAGAACAAAGAGCTGGACTATATTATTCTTCTGCTATACCACTTCTAGAAAAATTAAAAAGTAGAATAGTCATCAAATTACCAGAGAAAAGAATGTTTGATTATACACATAAAGAATTTAATTCCAAAGATCTGAATTCTTTGATTGAAGAGAGTAAGTTATTTGTAGCAATGACCTATGTTAGTGAATGTGAATATGACAAAGCAATAGGATTACTTTCAAGCTTAAAATCACCTGAAGCTCAATATCATCTTAGTCAGACTTACAGAAAACTTGCTCTAGATGAAAATAATCAAGGAGACAAATATGTTTCATTATTATTAAAGGCTAAAACCATGGCTTATAAGACTTTGGATGGATGGCAAAATTCTGAAAGACATAAGAACAATCCTTTATTTTCTGATACACAAGAGTTAATTGATGAACTGGATTCTCTTATGAATAAAATAGATCCTGACTTAACTGGTCTTGTGGCCAATGATGTAGATGGAAAGTATTATTCAAATGAAAATGTTTCTTTGCTTGGTTGTGACCATACAGCTATGCAAAGTAAGTTTCCCATGTTTCGCAATCTCAGTTCTACACCAAAAGCACCAGTAAATTCAAATAATATAACTAATTATAGAACAGCTGTTGATAATCAACTACTAGAGAGTACTCAGGTGGATCAACGATATTTGGAAAGAATAGAAACAGAAATAAAAAATTTACAAAAACGAGACACAACTATTAATAATTTTATGGAAGAAACTAAAAAATGGTTTGAAGAGAATCGAAAATTAGGTAATGAAATTATTACAACTATTCATTCCAATATACAAAACACTACAGATCAGTTTAAACTTCTAAAAATATCGGTGGATCAGGTTAAAGATCAAATTGATGAATGCAGAAATGAATGCAAGGATGTCGGTGAATTAAAGAAACAAATTGCAGAAATGAAAAAAGAAATAAATAAGTTAAAGAAAACTTCTTCAGAACACAACATTGATGAGAGCGATTTGTATAATTTGGAAGATGATTACAGAACAAGTGAAAGTACTTCAACTTTTACTCCTCAGCTACCTTTTGTGCCCCCAGTGATGCCTCCATTTAACCAACGACTTGTACCACCTTTTCCTGTTCCTCCAAACCCTTACCATCTTTATGGTCAAAATTTATATAATTTATATAGCCAATATTCTCAGTTTGGGCAATCGTCACAAGTACCTGGTGCACCACCGATATTCGACCCCAATAGAGGTCAGGTAAATTATCCAGGAGTTTATCCAACACCTGAGGCTATGTATTTAGACGTTGCTCAATTAGTACAACCGCCCATACCAGCAACGCCTGCTGTGTCTTTACCTACGGCACAGGTAGCATCGTCATTATCAGCAGGGCCATCTATTCCTACAATACCAACTGTATCAATGCCTGCTCCAGCAACAACAGTTAGCATTACTAAACCTATTTCAAAGATAGAATCAAAAGATATACCCAGATCATTACCAGTTAATGTCGTTATTACTTCTTCAGATCCGTTACCGACCTGCACTACTATTCCCACTCCTATTTTGAGTGTCACTATACCATCTAAACATATCAAAGGAAGCCCACATAATTATCAAATACCAATGCCAGTGACAACTGATACGAAAGTGATTTCACCACCTGTCTTCAGTTTCCCATCAGCAGATAACAAGTTGCCCTTAAATAAAACAGGAAACACGTCAAATAATAGTTGGAGTCAAGTATCAGTTTTTAAGACAGCTGTGACTGCTAGTACTGCTCCAGTATCAGACGTGACTACTGATTCACTGTTTAACAATTCAAGATCTGATGACTTGTTTGAAATCTCAAAAAGCGTTGTAGATGGAGTGTTAAATACATCCAATGTAAGTCACAATAAGTCCAGAACTTTATCTGAAAAAAGCAACACTTCTGTTGAATATGATCCTTGTCCAGACTTTCAACCAATAATACCTTTGCCAGCAGAAGTAACAGTGACAACAGGTGAAGAAGACGAGACTATTATTTTCAGTTCAAGGGCGAAGCTATTTCGATTTGTGGATAAACAATGGAAAGAAAGAGGACTAGGAGAAATAAAGCTTCTAAAACATAAAGTTACTGGAAAAGTACGTGTCTTAATGAGACGTGAACAAATTCATAAAATTTGTGCAAATCATATTATAACTTCTAACATGGAAATAAAACCTATGAAAAACGAAACAAAAGCTTACTTTTGGGTTGCAAATGATTTTGCTGATGAGACTGTAATATTAGAAAAGTTTTGTGTACGTTTTAAAACGGCAGATATTGCAACACAGTTTTATGAAAAATTTGAAGAGGCTCGTAAAGAATCGCCATCCAGTAATGTTAGCTCTGACAAAGTTCACCAAGATAAAAAGTTACCTGAGAAACAAATTACACCTGTGAAGAATAATTCAGACACTTTTAGTGTCCTACAGTCAAGTAAACCTGGTTTTACTGTAGGTGGTTTCACATTTAGCTCTACGCCATCATTTAAGCCTGTCGTAGAAGACGATAAAGCTGAGAGTAAACCAGCAGAATCATCTGCGAATAAAGCTAATATCTTTAGCTCATTTAGCTTTAAATCCAACACAAGTAGTTCTTTTGGTAATATTTTTACTGCACCTGTTTCACAGTCCGTCAATGCTAGTATTGCGCCAGAAGAAAAGGAAGCAAGTTCTAAATTAAACACTTCTGATACTGTAGAAGAGTTCGAGCCAAATGTTCAATTTGAACCAGTTGTACCATTACCTGCTTTGATAGATCAAAAAACTGGTGAAGAAGATGAAACAATTTTATTTGAACATAGAGCCAAGTTATTAAGATTTGATTCAACTGCAAAAGAGTGGAAAGAACGAGGACTTGGCAACATAAAGTTGCTTGTGCATAAAGATAATGTTCAAAAAGTTCGACTTATAATGAGACGAGAGCAAATTATGAAAGTGTGTTGTAATCATGCACTCTCAAAGGAAATGACATTCCAAAAAATGCCTAACATGGATAAAGCAGTAACATGGTGTGCCAAAGATTTTTCAGATGGTGAATTAATATCTGAAACATTCTGCCTGCGATTTAAAACTGTTCAAATATGTGATGATTTTATAGAGGCAGTTAAGGCTGCACAGTCCAAAATGAAAGATGATACTAAAGCTGCTAAAGAAGAGCAAAATGCTGCAAAGCAGAACACTCAAATTGGATTTGGTGATCAATTTAAACCTAAACCTGGAGCTTGGAATTGCAGCATGTGTTATACAAATAATTTGGAAAGTTTTAATAAATGTGCTTGTTGTGAACAACCAAAACCCCAAACTATACCAATATCAGGCACTACAGCTACACTGACTAACATTTCAACAATAGTACCCCCAAAAACCGCTACTGTCTTGACACCTACAAATTGGGGTGACGCTTTCAAACCAAAACCGGGTACTTGGGAGTGTAAAGAATGTTTAATAAGAAATGAAGCCACAGCCGAGAACTGTTCTGCATGTAATAGTGCAAAAGATCCTTCGGTTATCAAGTCTGGGAAAGTAGCATCAGGCGATGGATTCAAATTCAAATTCGGAATGCCAGCAAGCAATCCAGAACCAAGCAAAGACACATCTATTTCTGGGAAAGTAGGATGGGGAGACAAATTCAAACCTAAAGAGGGTAGTTGGGAATGTCAACAATGTCTAGTCAGAAATGAAGCGGATAGTAAAAACTGTAGTGCCTGTAGTAGTCCCAAGAATCCAAGTGCAGTTTCCACTGAATCAAATAGTATTTTTGGGATTGGTAGCTCTGGCAACTCTGGCCCAAAATTTAGTTTCGGCATTCCGGCAAATTCTGCTAAGACTATTACATCGCAGAGTTCCAACCAAACGAGTTCTATTTTCGATGGGACTGGCGCACATAAGTTTAGTTTTGGTATTCCATCTGCTACTGAAAATAACTCTACCAATATTGTTACTTTCGGAGAACAACAATCTCAGTCAAGAAATGTTATTATTGCAACACCTAAAGCACCTGATAACCAAGGTCCACTTAATTTTTCTCTTAAGATAAATGATCAAGGTGATATAAATGTTACACCTAAAGTGGAAGCACAAAAAAATGGATCAAATCAAACTCAATTTGGTGGGACCTTCGATTTTGTTTTTAAGCCTAAAACTCCACCAAAAGGCAAAAGCCCTTTAAAATCTCCAAAAACTCAAAAAGGGGAGGAAAGTGATGATAATGAATATGCTTCGGAAGATGAAGGCCATCACATCCATTTCAGCCCTGTGATACCTTTGCCTGATAAGGTAAATATTCAAATTCAAATATCACATTATTTTTTTAGCTTATTATTATATCAGAAATTTACATTGGCAAAAGGCGACTTATGTGATCTATTTTACATTTTACTCATGTTCTAGGTGGAAGTAGTCACTGGAGAGGAAAATGAAAATGAGTTGTATGGTCACAGAGCTAAATTGTTCAGGTTTGTGTCAGGTGAATGGAAGGAACGCGGCATCGGCGTTGTGAAAATTTTGAAACACAAAGATACTGGAAACTTGAGGTGAGTAACTAAGGCATTAAGTCCGCCAATGTATTATGTACATGAAGTGTTAAATAAATAAATAAATATAAAGTAAATTAATGTAATTAAGTAAAGTAATGAAAAAAACCACTTGAATATACAGTGTTATAAATTATTTCTTATTTTAGGGTTGTTATGCGACGGGAACAGGTTTTAAAGATTTGTTTAAATCATGCTTTGACTTCTGAAATAACATATACTCCAAAAGATGACAAAACATGGCTTTTCGCTGCAAACGATTTTAGTGAAGGAGAATTAAGCTTACAGCAATTTTGTTTGAGATTTAAAAGTAAAGAAATAGCCACTGAATTTAAACAGGCTATTGAGAATGCCAGAGGAAATAAAAAACAAGAAACAATCAATAAAGGAGCCAATAATAAAAAGCAAGACAGTGACCCTGAAGAAGTTGTTTTTATTAATGAAATACAAGCTTCAGCAGAAGAAAAACAAAAAGCTAAAGAACTCATGCTGCCTGAGAACTTCTTCACATATAAAGTTAAAGAACCTTGCCAAGGTTGTCGTGGTTGTGATTTAGATGACATAAAAACATCTAGAAAAGCTGTCGTGTCCTCCGGAGTATCTACTCCAGTCAAAACTTCAATACCATTATTCAGCAGCCCTGCTAATTCTTTTTATGGCACTCCTACAAATTTTGATAAGACAACTGATGTTTCTTTGTTCCGTACACCATTAGGATCACTGGGTTCAAATACAAATACATCTTCACCTTTATCTACAAATAGCACTCTTACTAAGAATGATGATACTACAAATAAAGAAAATAGTTTTGCTCAGAAACCTAACCTGTTTAGTAGCTTGCTAGAACAGAAAACTATTTTTGGCACACCTCCAAACAACCCAAATGATAAAACAAATATTACTGATACACAAACACCAACTTCTACAAAGACTTCGGGGATATTGGCACCACCTAAATTAAGTACAATGACTAAAACAGGTGATGAAAAGCAAAATGTAGATCCCAAATCTATATTTGCAGCAGCCCAAAATAATTCGGTGTTTGGTAAAAGCAACTCCTTGTTTGGTAACTTCAATTCTGGGACCGAAAATAAATCTGTATTTGGTTTCACTGCGGCAAACACAACTGATGATTCAGAAAAACAAGATGTCAAATCAGTATTTGGCGGTGATATCCAAAAACCAGTTGGCTTATTTAGTGGAAATAGTAGTGGATCATTGTTTGGTCCAGAGGCATTGAGTAATAGTCAGACTAAACCTGTTGGCTCAATATTTGGAACTGGTGCAATCTCTACTGCAGCTAGTAATACTAGTCCCTCACAAGTTTTCGGAAATAGAAGATCTATTTTTGGTAACAACCAAGCTCCTACATGGACTTCAAATGCTATTATTAATGACCAGAAAAAACCAGATGTTACTCCCCAAGAATCTACAATCAAAAAGACTGAAGAACCTAAGCTTGATTCAGAAGATAAGAAAGATACTCCCTTCAAGGTGGACAATAGCTTATCATTTGCTGCATTATCATCTAGTGGCCCTGGATTCAACCTTCAAAGTAAGTTGCACTTTGTATAAGTACTACTGTTGTTGTAACGGTTTTCCACTGCTGCTGAGCATTTTATATTAAACCTGATTGTAAATTATTATTTTATAGAAAAGGCTGACTTCCAATGGGAAGGAGCAGGTCAACAACTCTTTTCTGCAGCCCAGAAAGAAGCCGCTAATGCCCAAAAGAATGAGAGTGGCGCCGGTGATGATACAGTGACAGGAGCAGACGAGGAGTATGACCCGCATTATGAGCCCATTGTTCCATTGCCTGACAAAATAGTTGTAACAACTGGAGAAGAGGATGAGGTATTGAATGTTACCAATATTTTTTTATTTCAAATTAAATTGTAAATTCAAGATCTTACTCATTCTATCTATATTTTTTAAGGAAAAAATGTTTGGTGAACGGTGTAAATTGTACCGATATGATGAAAAGTCACGAGAGTGGAAAGAACGTGGTGTAGGAGAAATGAAAGTATTGTACCACCCTGAAAGGAAGACTTATCGATTGTTACTTAGACGAGAACAGGTAAAAATTATTTTATGTTATTACCAGTGGTCGGAATTAGGTAGAGTTATTCATGTACTTACACTGATTGATTTCATACAGCGAAAGAATAAAATGGATATGCCTCAAATCTCGAGAATAATTTTAAAGAGCAGAAAAAATCCCGGGATTTTTTAAATAAAAAGTTATTTACTTTTACACAATTTAAACTACTGCACGCACGACGTTGCCAAACTTACATCAATGACATCGGATGTCCAAAGATGTCCAAGATTGTCAATTAGAAATCCTGGGAAGGTCCACATTAATATCAACATTTCGATGCAAGTATATAAATAACTCTACCTAATTCCGACCTCTGGTTATTGTATTGTTTCGAGTTGCGGATTATCTTGGGTTTATGCAGCCCAGTATCACTGCGACCATTGCTGATCTATTGTGATCTCCACATACTACAGTTCACGGTCAAGATTACATTCTACAAGGAATTGTAGTATTTTCTTGGCCGTAAGTTCTTTAATATCGTCTGGGTGCATCACGTGCTTTCCTAGATAGATACATCGTTTTCGCATTAGTAACGGGCAATCGGTCAAAATGTGCAAAGGTGTTTCTTCTTCCTCCTTGCATCCTCTGCACATTCTACTGTCGCTGATCCCCATATTGTGCATGTGTCTGTTCAGTCCACAATGCCCTGTGAGTGCTCGTACTAGTGTGCGAAGGTGAGTTTTGGTTAAGTTTAAGGCCTCTGATGCCGCCTTTTTGTTGAAGGTTTTAATCAGGGTCTTAGAGTGTTTCATACCGGGAGTGTTTCTCCATAGTTGAATAGCTGCGTAGTGGCAGTAAGTTTTCAAGGTGAGCTGGGTTAGGCTTTGAGGGATGCCACAGAAAGGTTCTGGTCCGATAAGGGCGTTTTTAGCACCCTTTTTCGCCAGTTTGTCCGCCTGTTCATTGCCCTCGTGTCCAGCGTGCCCTGGAACCCATCGTAGAACTACTTTGTTGTTGTTGCCCAAAGAGTTCAGTGTCTGTTTGCAGTTCTCGACCAGCTTCGATCTAGTTATGTCGGAAGCTAGTGCTAAGAGTGCAGCTTGACTATCAGAGTGGATGTAGATAGTATGATTGAGGTAGTTATTTTGCAGATTGGCTGCCGCACATTCCAAAATGGCGTACACCTCTGCCTGGAATATTGAGGAGTACTTTCCCATGTTCAGACTTATAGTTATTACCTCTGGTTATTACGTTTACAGATATTATATGTGTTTATTGTTAATATTTACTTTTCCTAGAACTACAAAACAACAACTGGTTCTTAGCTTCTATAATTTTAATTAGATCGAAAACAAACGTTAAAAATACAAATATTTACTGAGATAAAAAAAAGAAAAATTGACAAAAATCGTATGTAACGTTTATTTCTATTCCTATCATACTCAATAACAATTTGGTTTATATATGATAATTTTTCGTACTAAGTGTATGCAGATCAGTAAATTCAAGTTTCTTTTATAATGCAGGTACACAAAGCTGTGTTGAACATGCTAATTTTTATGGATCTTGAACTACTGCCGATGAAGAATTCCGACCGAGCGTGGACTTGGGCCGGCCGCAACTACGCCGAGACAGCCGCCGGTGAACAGGAGACGCTCGCCGTCCGGTTTAAATCCGTCGATCTCGCTACTGGTTTCCGTGACAAAATCGTGGAATGCGTTAGGGTAAAGTACAATTTTAATTCCAATGTCGCCTTTGCGTTCTATTTGTTCAAGGTAGTAATTCTGACATATTGGTGATGATCAGTTATTGGTTGCATACAAAACTATTTTTATAGCATAATCATAATCACCGTTGCTGATATCGCACACCTAGATCTAAACTAAGATAACTCAAAAATTTGAGTGAGTTTTGACTTAGTACAATATTCAAATACTCGGTGATCACACGCATCTATCCAACATAACAGATTCAATAAAAGTTCGGGGATGAGTCGCTGGATAACTTTAGCTTTCTTTTGTTGAATCAACAGTGGTCGCGCTCCTGCCACGTAAACAAATGTATTGTCAGACCTCCACATTAGTTTTTTGAGTTGTCTTAGTTTAGATATAGGTGTGCGATATAGTAATATTTCATTATAGAAATTACAAGCTACCGCAGCTCAAGCAATAAGGGAAGAGAAGGAGTCGAATGAGACGCCGTTTACCACGGTTACTCCCCTCCGTTTGCCAAAGCATTTGCAGGATAGCGCGAGGGCAGATAAAGCCATGTCGGCTAAAGCAGAGGAGCATACGCAATCGCCCCCTGTACAACACCAACCTTTTTTCAATGTGAAGACTGAAATCAAACCTAATGGACAAGTAAACAAACCCACCGAGGTTATTGAAGTTTCCAGACAAGTCCACTTTGAGGAGCCTACTGAGGAGGAGGAACAGGAAGAAGATGGCTATGAACATGATTATAATGAAGACTATGATGGATACTATAATGAGGTAAGAATCATACTTATATAATATTTTTCCTTCACATGATTTTAATATCTCAGTATGAAGTTAATTTTAACATTTAAAAATAATGAGTTATATTTAACACACATTGTTTTGTTATAACATGTTTGTCAAAGATCATAACCTAACCTAACCTAATGGATCATACATAAAATATACTCATATTGCACAAAAAAAAATAACAATTGTAGGTAAATTACAAACAAGGGTGGGCTTAGTTCTATAGGAGATCTCTTCCAGCCAACCAGGCGGTGTGGGAGATCAAGCAGTAACGGGAGACTGACAAGTGCATAATTGTAAAATTTAATGTGAATTAATATTTACATTAATACATATAGGCATATAATACATATATAAATACATATAATTCACATACGTAAAAAAAAAACCAATGAGACATGACATGAAAAAAAAACAATGACAATGAAAAATGAACCGAATTTCGAGGTTTTGAACTTCATTCACATCCAAGTAGTAAATATCAGCAGTCATGAATGGGAAGCAGGAGTGATTGCACTAGCATATTTTGGTTTTAAGGGGAAAAAACTTGAAGTCGTTTGAAAGACCGGAAAGAATAGTGCATCCGTTTGCTAACTTCAGCCATTTGTGGGGACCATAAAAGATTCTTCCTATCCATAGTCAAACCAAGATTTTTTTGCTTTGTCTATGTATGGATCGGTATACTGTTATAAATGACTGGAGGTATACAAGTAAAGTAAGTTTGCTGCGGAGTCTATTACTGCCGACAATCATGGCTTGGCATTTATTTGGATTGACCAAAAGACCAAATGAAACCGCCCTTTCCTGAATAGAAGCAAGATCTCTATTTAAAGCATCAATGGTATCCAGAGCATCGTCGATAGAGAAGTGCCTTTAGATTTGAAGGTCATCTGCGTTAAAGATCAAAGATAAAATGGAGAGGAAATAACGGAAGAGTAAAGGAGAGAGAATACCTCCTTGTGGTACACCGGCTGGCAAGTTTAACCAGTCAGAAGAAGAAGAATTGAAAACTACGCACTGATAGTGTTCAATAAGATACGATCGAAACCAATCAATGGCAGAAGGGCAATGTTAAGCGAGCGGAGAGTACTAAGCAAAATGTCAAAGTCAACGCAATTGAAGACACTGCTAAAATCTACGAGTAGTAGAACCAAGGCTGTAAGTTTCGTATTACCCATAGCATGACGAATATCTTCAGTTATGTTCAACAGTGCACCAACTGTGCTGTATACAGGACGGAAACCCAGATTAGTAAGGACACAGAAGAGAGTTATATAAGAGAAAAGAGTAAAGCTGTTGGTGGGTGACAGATTTGAGTGCCTTAGAGAGAATAGAAATAGGACGATATTGACTAAGTGAAAAAGGATTGTGAGTTTTATGAAGAGGTATGACATGAGCTCTTTTCCAAGATGCAGGAAAGACATTGTTTCTTGACCTCTAGAACAGGAAGTAACATGTCAAGACTTGTGCCATCACTTCCAATCGTCTTCGGTGGATTTAATACATTTTGTAATATCTTCCTCAGAGACTACGCTGAAGGAAAAGGAGGGATAGTCTGGTGAATTATTAAAGTGAGATAAAAAGGAGAGTGTGTTAGACTTAGTTGTAATTTCTAAAGAAAGAGAAGTAATATAAGAGAAATAATATACCGTTTCTCGTGTTTGCTTCTGTACTTTAATAATAATAATACATTGTCGAAAGTTTTTCGTGTTAAAAATGTCATAAAGTTGTAAAAGACATCATTCAAAACGTACGAAAATCTGAATGTGCCGCCGATATAAATAAATGATTTATTTCGTTAGAACAATATAGGTATTCGAGCTATGCTCTTTGATCTACAACTAGGGTTGTTGTTATCTATAAAAATCTAAGTTTTTCTCAATTAAAAATGCGTTTCATATTTTATTGTGATAGCGCAAATATAAAACACCAATAGATAATTAATTTATATTTTAAACATAATGAAAGAGCCAATTCTTAGCTAAGCTCTATTATACGTTGTAATAAACAATATGGCTTAATTTTATATTGACCGGTACAAATTCAGGTATTGATTGTATGGCTGTAACTTATCTTTTTTTTTGTGTAGGAGGATGAGGAGTCTGCGCCATACTATACTTGCGAAGGCTCGGCTTTTATTCAACACGGCACCTCTAGTTCAACATGCGAAAACGCACACGTTCAGGTGCTATTCGACCAGGAGATGTACTCACCGAAGATTCTCGTCACTGATGCCGATACTGGCGAGATACTCGCCGACATGCTCATACACACCGATACAGAGTTCCAGGTTTGTTTTAAATATTGTTAACTTTTGAATTGGTACTTTTTCTAAAATTAGTTTTAATTGTGTTCCTATAAACGTGAAATTCTTCAATAAACACTTGTAAGTAAACCCATATTATTTATAGTGTTTCTATTTTATCAAAACAATAGGATTTCCATTCCAAATACGGTTAATTACGCTTTTACTCTGCCCATTCTCGCTTTCTCTGCTTCATGTATACATCTTATTCTCACCTCTTTTGTAAATGTAAAGCTTACATTCATCATTGAAAAAATTACGAGCAATATGTACTATACCAGGTACCGTTCTTATTGTCTTTTTTTTGGACACTTATGCATACCATCCTAATCGGCGGGTTATGTGGGACTCTCCCATGCGGTTCCCCCCCAGACTGGGGCTAGTCAAATAGTATTAGTAGGAGTATAACCACTAAAACTCAGCGACGTCCCTCTACATGGAGGCGATGCACGGGGACAGCCCAAATGCCACTTCCCGCATCTTTCGCCCTCCCCCCCTTGAGGGGCAAGTCTCTCTTCGAGTTGGGGTTACGTCTAAAAAGTTAAAGTATTTATTTGCTTAAAATAGGTATACAAGGTTTTAAAATCCATTATATCACTATCTCTATTTAGTTCATAATAATTAATTAACATGCAAAATTATCAAATTTCAGGTATGTGTTTACATTATTACAATTATAATTCTTCTATAATACACATGATTTTATATTATTATATTCTTGCAGTGTACGACTTTTATCTTTTATATAAATTGGGGATTTGAAAGTATTTCGTTGAATTAATAAGATTTTTCACCTGACCCCCCTCCCCCTGCACACATATTTAAGCGCTCTATATTATAAATTTTTGTCATCCATAGATGTCTGGCGACTCGTGCACATGGTCCGGTACAGATTACACCAGCAATGAGCCTGTAGATAAGACCGTCACCCTTAATTTCCAAGACTCCGACACTACCATGCAGTTCTACGATAGTTGCGAGGTGAGTTCTTTTCTCATTTATTTTATCAAATATTATGGCCAAATATGATGTACCAATATTTAAAAATCATACTTAATCTACACGTCTTCTTTCATTCCTTGTATATACTAACTACATCACCACCTTGGCGCAGTTCACAAGAGAGAGAGAGAGAAAGAGAGAGAGAGAGAAAGAGAGAGAGAGAGAGCCATCTTCTTAGTGATTAATAAGACAGATTAGAAATAAATTAGCATATTTTATCATTACAGACTAGTAAAGCCGCCACATATTCGTCAACAGATCAAGAAACATAGATAAGTATTGTAATTATAATTAGTTGTTTTAAAATAAGTGTGTATTTTCATTTTTACAGTGTTTATATGTTAGTATACGAAGTGTTGAATTCAATGTTAAGTATTTTTTTTTGTTGGAATACATTTTTGTTACCTGTTTATCTTTTCAATTTAGATCTCATTGAAAATCTTCAGTTTTATTGATCAAATCGTAGAACCTTATTTTGTATTATTATTATCATGTGACGCCAGTATCTTATTTATTGACAATGAAAAATTTTGTCAAAATTATAATTATAAGCATTATTATAACATATTATCCCCTATACCTTGTACTGTACGCGAGTTTTTAATCTTAATACATAACATTACATTTATAGAGGATGATTATTCTGATTGTGACGCAAACATTACAACAATAAGATTGTTGTTATGTCTATCACTATAATGCGTAATTCATTAACGTATGTACTTCAATTTAAAGGGTTAATCGTATAAGAATTATAGATATCATTTAATTATATGAACAAAAAAGATCTAACCAATAACCGTTTATACTTTAATTATTAAAAAGCAATGTTAATGTACAGTTATCTAAAAGTGGTATAAATTAAATAAAGCTGTTCCTAATTGGTTAGGTCTTTTTGTACTCAGACGCTTAAATAAAGTTACGACTGAATCATTTAATTATAATTTTAGGCATTAATGCAATAACTATATAAAATTGATACCTGCATTATGAGCATTTTCAACACTATATTGGTTTTATATAGTTGAATCATTGTTTAAATCAGTATAGTCGCTCGTGGCTTTATTACAATTGTGATGCAAACTATATTTACGCAATTTATTCATTCGATATTTATAAGAGCTAACAACGCTATGTCGTATCAAAAAATTATGTGCGATGTACGAAAAGATGTTTAATTTCACTCGATCATTAAGAACTTTGTGAATAGTTTAGTAAATAGCTGTTAATTATATTTAAAATTGTGAAATTGGAATGAGAAAAGGATATGTTACCTTTCATTTTAATAATTTTTTTGTCAATGACTTATGTTTTCATTATACCAATTGCAGGGCATTCTTTACTTATGTGAATGTTTCTAGGCAATTATTCCATTTCTCATTCGAATTGTGATAATTGTTAAAAAATAATAACTGACATTAGTGAATTAAACGGGCGAGTAATATAACTTTGAAGTTTGTGTTTTATTTTTAGCTGTTTCCCGGCGACATTGCCCCTGTTAATTGTTGCCTATCGGCCGGTTTCTGAATTCTTTTTATGATGATAAGACTATTGAATTTTATGCTGCTAGCAATTGATCAACAATACAAAATTTTCTTTGTGACAAGTGACGTAAATATCTAAATTATTTTCATACAAACATTACTAAAAATACTTTTTTTCCTTTGATCCAAAGAAAATATAGTATATGGTATACCCCGCGGACCGCAACGTCTCCGTCCGAAAATGCATTACATAAAACAGCAGCACTGGTTGACGGTGCAGTGTGAATGAATGAATGAACACTATTGTACACCACAAAGAAAAACATGAATACCAGCATAAAATTACTGTAGAATCGGCGGTCTTATCGTTAAAAAGCAATTACTTCTACGCAACCGTACGTTGGAGATTGACTGAAATAGTTAATGAGTAGTATATGGTGCATTACAAAGTAAGCAATATTATTATTAAATAGTACACTCAATACAGATATGCATATGTACGCTTAACATCACATATATACTATACATATATGATATCAACTTAGATTTACATGAGAAGTACCAAGGCACCTGTTACATGAGACGTACCAAATATCAAGATCATCAAACATCTACAGACTGCGCGCGTCTTATTTTAACTTGCAAAACATTCCATTTGTCTGATAATCGCCTAAAAACTTCAAGCCGTAATAAACAGGCAACAGGGAACATTCCGAGTAAAATTACAAACCATATTGTGAATCTGTGTTACAATTAGAAATATTATTATATACAAGAAGTATAAATTCAAGCAGTCTTGGATCATAGGCGTTACTTTTGGTAGATCAAATACTTAGAATTTAATTTTGAAATAACCATAGAAAATTTATTTATATCTAGGAACATGTATCATTATATTCATTCAAGATTTGAATAGAAAAATCAAAGATAATTTAAAAGAAAATTAAGCGACATTAATTTAAAAATGCTCATTGTCGTGACGCAAAGTGCCATTAAAGTTAAGAAGAAGAAGAATTTTTTTTATTACTAGTAATTATAATGGCTTCAATAATTTTTCACTATATTTTTAACCGTGAGATAATTTTATTACAAATTTTCAATTTCATACTTAAAATTAGCCCTACTCATTGTTTATACGGTGAACAATTTTTTCCAGATACATTTTGTTTGATACTTTTGCTCCAATTTCAAATAATTCTGGTATCTAAAGAGATAGATAACATTGAACCTAAGAGAGAACGAGTAGAAATGAGAGCCGTCTTTATTAACTGTGAACCGAGTGTAAGTAGAGAACAGTGTGTATTTACTGTGAACCAAATATAAGTAGGGTATAGCACATCGGTATATTAAAAAACTAGCAAAGTATGAGTTGGTCTGACGCATGAAAGGTTCTGTATCACTATAAATACGCAAAAAAATCACATTTGTTGCATGGAAGCTCTTCTTAAACATTTATTTGATTCTGACTCTTAAAATCAATCATCTGTGAAAAATTTCAACTCTTAACTGTCACGGCTCATGATGCTAATGCTTTCACTAGTGCGTGCGTTATGAATTTGTATGGAAATTTATAGTTAGTTCTTGGTGGTTACCACTAGGGGCGCTTTACGGGATTTCATACTAAAATCTAACGCGCTCACGATCGACGGTGAACCTAAACGTAAAAATAATCTCACACTAAACGTTCTGATATCCAAAGCGTTAAAACGGGTCGGGCCCCTTTCTTTGGGGTATGGAACCCGAAAAACATCAAATTTACGCTCACGAGTTTACTGAACCTTTTTAATGCTATTGGAACATTTTGTCAACTTTTCTGAATTTTTATCATGCGATCTTTCAAAAAACGCTATTAGATAATCGAAAATTAAGCTAATAACAGGATAGTCAAGGTGCTTATCCAGATAATGAAGCGACTCGCTTCCAAAGGGAAGAATTATTTAAGCACAGCACTCTGCAAGGCTGTCGCAAGAAGCTAGCGCTTACGTTGAAACTTTCTAATGAACCTGAAGCTGAGGTATGTTGATATTGTAGTGTGATAACAATGACATGTAGGTTTATAGTTTAAAATATAATAGGTGCCTAAACAGGGGGTTATGGAGAATGAACTAAGTGAGTAGAGAGCACATGAAGCTTTTTACTTGTATTGTAGTACAAGCCTTACATCTACGGCAATTGTAATAACAACAGTACAGAGCCTAACTTTTAAAGTTTCATGAACTTTTGATTGTAGAATAATTAAAACTTGTAAATAAATTATTATAATAATGAGATTTGAATGTACACCACTGCCTTACTTATTAACTTTACCTACAAACATAGATATAAGGGTTAAAATCGAGTGGGGAAATAGTATAGTCTGACTGAACAAGGTGTTGCTATGTGTCTCTAGTTTTATTTTCGGTTAGGGTCAATATATGAACATCCTAGATTGCTTTAGGCTCGTTGTGACACCTTCGTTGTTTCGTGTTTCCATAGCGTAAGGGCTTTGTCTTATGGAATCCAAACCAGGTGTTGATTAATTTCTACACCATCACCACATAATGACATAAAATACATTTCAGAATGATTCGGGCGATGAATACATACCGATCGAGCACGTCTTCGATGGCTCTAATAAAAAAAGAGTCCGTCTCTTTAATCCGTATATACTTCGAATAAGACGAGAAGCTCCACTTCAAGCTTATAAATTACGACTGATCGAAGTAAGTATGCCACTACTAGGGCAGAAGAGCCGGTTTTGGTCAGTGCCCCATTTTGAAAAGCACTTCAAGACGTATTAACTAACGCATAGGAAAATATATTAATTTATTTGAATAGTTTTTAATATGTTGCATTATGGCAAAACTAATACCGTTGACAGTGGTATGTAATATTTTAAGTTTCACTTCCTCGTAACTCTTAAAAAGTGTCATTAATAAACAAGGTTTAGCATTGGAGTAAATTTACGCTGATACTGCACTTAGTATTAGTCAAAATTCATATTATTAAACAGAGACTTAGAAAATGTTGACCTAGTACGAGGTTCTACGGGAGCAATATTTACTCCTGAGGTAGGTTTGCTTATTCTATGTATAATGTAAATTTGGACTAATAATGAAATTGCAACTTTAGCGTAAATTTACATTGACGTTAAACCTTGTTTATTAATGGCGCTGAAAGTGGCTAAAACCGGGTCATCTACCCTACACATAACATACTTCCATTTAAACTGAATATTTCATTTGCATAAATGTTTCCAGACTGTGACAGGAATCATAAGTCCGTTGGATGGTGGGAAATCTACTAAACCTAAAAAAGTATGTAATTTTAATATTTAATAATCTTTCATTTCCAACGACCTTCATAGCAGAGTGGTTCGTACGCCGGTTTCAAGGTTTCACTATCTCTGAGGTCTCAAGTTCGATTCCCGGTAGAGCAAATTTAGAAAATGGACTTTTATATAATATCGCCGCCAGTCTGGGTATTGCAGAAGATACCTTGGCTGTCTCAGGTCCTATTAATATTATAAATGTGAAAGTTTCTTTGTTTGGATGTTTGTCCGTCAATCACGCCGAAACTACTGAACGAATTTTGATGAAATTCGGTATACAGATAGGGTATTAGCTGACTTAAATAATAGTATACTTTTTATCCCACTAAACATTTCCCTAGGGACCACGTGGGCGAGGTCGCTGGTGAAAGCTAGTAGTCCATAATACGAGGGCTATATGCTACTCATTTTGGAGTCAGCAATGTAATGTTTTTGTATATACCTATATGTTTTAATTTTAAGACTGAAAATTCTAAACGTTTACGTGGGTCAGCATCATTTTCTATCTAATTCAAAGCAAATCAGGGGATATATCTAGCTAAGAGCCATGAATTAATTCAGCATTTAAGTAGTGTACTGGTTTTTTAATAAAACAGATTCTTTTGAATCTAGATACGATCTCATCGTCAATTTAAACGCTTATCGGAAGAGATTGATGATAGAACAAATTCTAGACTTGGCGACACCGATGCGGATATAACAAAAACTGATTGTGGTATGAATATTATTTTATAATTTATACTTAACGAGGTTGAATCAAGTAGTTTTACTTACGTCCTGTATCTTTTTCAACGTATCCAACAAATTTTGCTGCGTTTTACAGAAGGAAAAGTTTCGCATTTAAATACCAGCAGTTTGTTGGATGACACCTCGTCGAGCATTGTTGATTACCAATATAAAGGTCGTTTACAGACAGGAAGTTATACAAGAGGTGGGTAAATAAAATATCTGTTAAACTATGAGTCAATTTATCATAAAGTATTAACGCAATGGGTAGGTACTAATAACAATTTACTACTACGGTCATTACTTATATTGTATCTTAGATCTAGTGACATTAATTTTGTGTGCAAAATATTATATTTGTTGAAAATTACATGATTTTTCATGTCCTAAAACAATAATGTTTAATTCACTCACACCGTTCATTAAATTATGCACTTCCGATCTTTGACACTCGCGCTAAAACGTACAACACTCAATCAGAGACATCTGAGACACTGTTTTATGCTCCCAAATTAGCACGAAACAGCAGCTTAATCCTATAGTTTATTCGTTTATGTGTAATCACAACTGTCGTCGGTAAAAGTTTCCCTTTTAATTTGGTTAACATTAAAAACGTTTTCGTGACTAGTGACCTTGTTGTTCTCGTTCGACAGTTGCTCCTCGGCATCTATGATGACGGCAAACATTTTCTTCTTGACTTGCGTTTGCATCCATGGTGGCATTTCTCTGGTGGATTTGAGCATACAAAAGAAGAATGATTCTAATGCGTCTCCGTCCTGTTGCAGTGTCGATGTTTCATTTTGATATTCGACGCAGCGCCGCTTCTGAGGAGGACTATCTTTGGTTGGGTTTGTGCATTCGCTCGTCGACACGTCCTGTTCGGGTTTGTTCACTTTCTCTTCACTGGTCTCGCTGTCTATGTTCTCGGTTATTCTATATTTCATATGTGGCTCTAAAAACTGCATGGCTTTTGCGTATTTCCAAGTGGTAATCTGCGCTGGGAGCAGTTTATTCTGGCCCAATTTTGCCCTTTTTAATGCCTCCCTGTGGTTGTCTCGTAGTTTCCTCCACGTCGCTCTTGCTACTTTCACTGTAAATTATACGATAATAAGAATCAAATATATTACGTGTTTCAAGTAATAAGATGTCAAAAATGTTAACATTAGTATTTTATCCATTTATTATCTGAGAACAAATAAAGAACGCCTCAATCAATATACGAGTATCTTTATTAAGTTCAGTTTCCTTATATGTAGGGTTGTAGTGGTAGGTATATTTATTTAGGGTATGTTCCGATATACACTGCGACCACTGAACAGTATGACGTCAATTTAGTATACTGGAAGCCCGTTCCTATATAGCTAGATAATGGTGACTTTTTAAAACGGAACGCAGTCCCAGTATACTGTTAATCCTATTTTTTGGCGCCATTTTCAAATTTGTTAATGCAAGGTGAATATAAATATAAAGATTCCCTCTTTTCAAAAGAAAATATTATAAAATTGGAAAATTGTATAAAAAAATTATTTATCCATCTTATAATAAACGTAAGTATTTTTTTTTTTGTTTATTTAGAAACTTATCATTTTCTGATTCTGTTTCGACTGATCACGTGATCAAAAGCACTGCGAGCACCTTACCTCGAAATCTCCAGTGCTCACAGTACAAATATGGCGGCAATTTATGACATCATGAATTTCCCTAGGGTACTGTAGCAGTGTACTGGCAGTCCATAACGGAACGGATTTTTCAGCAGTAAGACCACTGCGCAGTGCTCGCAGTGTATATCGGAACATACCCTTAATAGGTAGTAAGTACTACACTACTGGTATAGTATGATATCTGTGTTACATATATACTCTGTTAGTGTTGTCTTGTCCTATCCTCTGACACGGTAAATTCTTAAAAAATATCCTACTTCAATTTTCTCAAGTACTAAAGCTAGGAGTCGAACCGGCGACGCTACCGGTGACCGTAAAGACATTAAGGTATTTCCATGTCTTACTTTTTATGCTATTCAGAGTATTTCAATTTTTTTTCCTAGAAGATGGCGAAATATTAATTAATCTAGCTGTTTTCCCGCGACTTCGCCCACGTATGATGTTATTTCCCGTAGGTGAAAAAAATCAGTCCAATAGTTTCGGAGAGCAATCAAGTCTTTCCTCTTAAAACATTAATATATATAGCAGTGGCGTAGCTAGGTAATCTAGGGCCCTGGGGCAAATAAAAAAATTGGGGCCCACTTCTATCAAAACTGGTAAGGTTTTTGAAGTAAAATCATTAAATATACAAATACTTTAAAAATGCTAAACAACTTTATCATCAGCTCTTTTTCGTGCATAGGCAGGTAATAAAACTATTAAACACTAACAACATAAATTACAATTATTTTTATACTTGGTGTAGGTATTGAGCAATAAAACGAAATAGAAAAGATTCAAGGGTTTATAATATATTTATTTAATCATAGATACGTTGTACCACCTTATTGTTATTTAACCTATCGCCATGCAAGCTATTTACAAAAATTATCAAAAGAAATATTTGATCCAGAAGTACTTGCAGAAGGCTGACTAAAAAACTTGTCAATTTTGGGCAATTTTTGTTTACTTTCTCCTCTTTCTTGGCGTTGTTTGCGTTTAAATGCACTATTACGGGTTTCTTTTTTTTTGTCCATTATATTAGTTTTCTAATTTATTTATGCAATATTTATGTAAGATTGTACTCAAGTAGGTACACACTGTTCACTGACAACGCTACAAGTAAAAGGAAAGCGAAACGTGAATGAATGAAAATGATACGACACGAGGCGTCGTTGGGGAATCCCCGGCAAACACTTTATCGCCGCCAGTGTTACCACATTTGACGGTTTGACGGACTACAATCAAATAAAATTGAACTTTTGATATGGACGCTGTACAAAAAATTGACATACGCTGATACAATAACTTTTTAACCATTCTCGAAAAAAAATCTTGACTCGAAGTTCACAATCGCGAATCACAAAAACGCATATCGATAAATAATAATATGCAGATATTGATATCCAACAAATTGATGAAAACATTAATAACACTGTCAACCCACACAAATAATTTACGGGAATTCCCTTTTTACCCGACTGCGCGACGCAAAGGAGGGTACCTAATTATAACTTTGGAATTACTCACAACTGAGTTTCCATGATTAAACTCGAGTTGTCACCTGTCATTTTTATTTTGAAGATGGGAGAAATTTTCAAAAGTTGAGTTCGATTGAGATTTTCTGGTAAAGATTCGAGGGCCCCCTGAGCTTGAGGGCCCCGGGGCACTGCCCCACCTAGCCCCTTAGTAGCTACGCCACTGATATATAGCATAGTGTATGCAAAATTCATTTATGCTATTGATAAGAAAAAATCGCCATCGTGGATACCTAATGATTCCGGCTGTATTTCAGGTTACCACAACTAATTTATGCTTATGCAATGGATTTTCTGTGATTTAGGTTCGCTTAATGTATTAAGGTTTAAAATCGAGTGGGGGTTTGTCAGTTTATAAATTAAAAACATATAAATTCAAATGAAGCTAATTTCCATTGAAAAGAAAATGAAGCTAATTACACTGGAAACCTATTCGTATTCCTTTAAAATAAACAGATACCTATCTACTTAACTGAATAATAAATAAGAGCCTCTGATAAATTATTTATTGACATCATAGTTATAATCAAAACAGCATTTTGCAATTATTTTTTAAAGATCTTAATAATATCCGTGGTAGTCAACGAAAGTTAAAGAGAGTAGGGTAAAATACCCAGAAGTTGCCCCTAAAGTCGGCTTCAAAGTTACGTAAATAGTGTTGAACTTCGTTTATACTATTGAAATGACGTCAAATCGAATCTATGTTCCCTTATTAGTTAATACACACATGGATTATAAGGATGACCGGTTGATGAGCTGTATTTGTTCATTTTCACATAGGATAAGTGTTCATGATTAAGGTAACTTTTTTATGAGTTTGCTGTTTATTCTGATGGATTTTTATGTTATATTATTATGAAATGTTCGTGTTGTAATTTAATTAAGCGTTAGAGGTTTTTAATTGACGATGATGATGACTGGGTAAAAAAAATGCAATTCTATCTAGTCCGTCAGTCAGATAATAGAAAAATATTAGATACGTATTTTTTTTACTTCAATTTAACAAGTAATAGCTTAGATAACAGGCAATAAAGTTGAGGAGCGGGTAGCTCGCTACGTCACAGTTGAGTAGAAAACGTACTCTAACGTGACGTCATGCAAAATTTCAACTCAATGTAACGCCGTAATTTTATGATTACGAAAAAAATAAAAAAATACGTGTTTAATATTTTTTAACACACTACCTGACTTACTTTAGATTAGGTTTATTGAAAATTATTTAATTTTACCGACCGTGTGACTATCGATGGCCGACTAATGGACTTGTGACTCCAACATTCGGCCATTAGTTTTGCTGCATTAAATTAAATCTTATTACCGTTTAATTAGGATCACATCTAGCATGTTTATTTTTGCATAAAAATCTTGAATTATTTGAAGTAAAGAGAAATTGAAGAAAAGTAAAGGAACATAAAAAGACAAATGAAGAAATGAGAATTACAAAAAATAAAACCTGTTAAAGTCTAAAATTTATTATAAGAGAATTTAATAAATGTCAGTTACGGTTATTTGAATTGTTGGTTTATTTGATGTATATGAATAATTATATATTAAAGAATTTGTATGCCGAATATAACTAGGATAAGAGACGGTCGACTTTTTATGCGCATGAGGTCGAGTACTGGTGAAAAGTGCCATATTTCGTTTAGTGTTGATTATTTATATAAATCAAATCTAATTAAATGATTTCGATAATCTCTTTAGAAAATATAATAAACAACATTTCTTATAAAAATTACTGTACTTAGGTATAGGTAGGACAAAGTAGATAGGACTTTGGAAAACAATCACCATGGAAAGACAATAAAAACATAATCATGAATGTTAGGAGCTTGTAATTACTTTCATCTTCATAACTACGTAACCCCTACGTAAGCAAAATGATAATCAAAAGAAAAAAATGTACATTTATCTTACTAATATTATAAAGAGATAAGTGAAGTCTCTAACTTCGTTTGTTTGAAAGAAGCTACATTAATAATACGCGGAATAATACGCGGGTGACATAGGCTATAATTCACGCGGCCGAAACCGCGGAAAAACAGCTAGTTAGATCTGTAGACTAAAACTGTAATGTAAATTATCAAACTTACCGCTAGGAATGGTAGTGTTATTACAATCTTTCACTACTCTCTGCCAAGCATCGTCTCTTACTTGCATTTCTCTGTAATCAGCGTGCATCGGATTCCATAAGCATGGATGAGCGCGTACACCGGCTATAAAAGTCTCCATTGTGTTCTATTTATTAAAATACTTTGTACGAATGTATCGGTGCAACGGCTATATAACAACGACGCGCCAAACTGGCATGCCTATGCCTCAGGTAGCCTCGTGTGGGTTTGAGCACCGCACCGTTGCCCGTCACCAGTCGCGTCGTTGGCTCGACCGATCTCCCTTTACAATGAAACCGGTTTATACCACTGCTGCGGAATTCATACGTAGTTTATGCATATGTATAGTTTAAGAAACCTGTCTTGTACTTACTACTCTGACGATGATTTCACGAACAGCTTTGTCATGATATTACGTTGGTGACATTTTTTATGTATTATGTTTTTTATTACTTTATATTGATCAGGTATTGTGATGTTTGTAATTATGTTTAGGTGTCTTATTATGAGGAACATCACCGAATGAATGTGTCAGTTGAAATACGACGTTTCAGTTTAGTGACGTGACTATACCGTTTGAGGCCTGTGGTATTTTTTTTTGATAAAATATGTTGTAATTATAAATGTATGCATTCTTCTACTCTCACAGCCCTTTCTGAATTGGTAGGCTTTTCAGAATTTTATACCTCATCCTACCCATTGTTGCGTAGGTTCGCCACAGTTGCAGTTATCTGCAGAAAATTCAAACTCGGCGGGTTACAGTCTTAGGCGAATTAATTATATTAGATATGAATGGTTATTTTATTATTTTTGCTTTGAATTTAAGTTGATTGGCATAATTATACAATGTTACATTTTATAAGCGTAAGTAGCATTTTTTAATATACTTATATGTACCTACTATTCTTTCAGTTAAAAGAGATGTATGTACCGCTAACAGTGCTGCATGGAATCGAGATAAAAGAAACGAACACAATATCATTGTTGAAAATACTATTGATGATGATAAAATCCCGTGGGTTGCACCGGACCCCTATTATCAAAACCATAAACGCGCTTCAGTTATCAATAAAATTATAGATAAACCTAAAATTACTAATAATAATAATGTCAATTATTCCAAAAGTAAAATAATTAAAAGCAATCACCGTACTCGTACATCTGACTTATTACTTGTTAAGAACGCTCACGAAAATGAAGAATATGCAAGCGAAAAGGTATTTGCAGATCAAAAATCCTTTGATGAGGATTCAAAAAACTTTGAAAGTAACAGCAAACTGAAACACGTGACTCATCATAATACTGTTGATAAAGATATTGGCAAAATATCAATTTTTAATTATGATAGTGGAGAAACGGGTTATGATCTTTATGAAATTGGTAAACCAGATTTATGGTATTCTGTTCATGTCCAGCTTTTCGAAAAGATGAGTACACCCGAGGGGAAAACTGCTTGGAACGATATTACTGATGGGGAAATTGCAAGGTTTCTATACAATTATATTTAGTTGTGTGTTAAATTGTTATTAGAGCATCTAGAAAATTATTCTGATTACAGTGTAAGTTCTGTTGAACCAGAATGGAGGGGCCAGGATATCAATATTAAATACAGGTCAAATGATTTTATTTCAAAAGATGAGTTTACTTTACCCTCGGATACTAGACTATGTTTGTTGGCATCTGTAAATGAAGATACTTCCAAGAACACTGATGAAGACAACGGTACGTACGCGGAGCTTAAATGTTTTTTTATTAATGTAACCATTGTTTTCTCTATTGAATGAATGAATGAATGAACACTTTATTGTACTTGAAAATAAAATCAACATAACAAATTAATAACAATAAACAGTACAATTGGCGGCCTTATCGCTAAAAAGCAATATCTTCCAGGCAACCAAAAGTTAGACTGGACAGTTACATAAAAAAGATGGGTAGTAAATGGTGTCCTACACAGTTGAAATAACAATTTTCCATACTAATATATACACACATACATATATAAATATATACATATATAAATATTGTATTTATTTATATGTTGATCAAAGGTGAATCAGCGGTAACATTAAATTAAATAAAAAACAATAATTAGAAACAGAGAACCTAGATACAAACTATAATAAGGAGACAAACCAATGTTACCATTATGTTAATTAAACAAGTACATATATAAAAATATAAAAGTAAAACGTATTAAAAATCCTTCGGTCAAGTAAGCAGATTCATAATAATTTGTCTTGCTGAGTTACACCTTACAAAATAGGTCTATATCAACCTTCAATCATCAATAATAAAAGATCCCCTCGATCCAAAGCTAAGATAGGTGTTCCACAGGGCTCAATACTTGGTCCTTTCTTGTTTTTAATTTACATAAATGACTTGCCTAATTTCATAAGGGATAATCACGATATAGTTTGGTTTGCGAATGACACTTCACTTTTGTTCAAAATTAAAAGAGGGCTTCCTCTAAATGACTTTGTGAACAATTCTATCGCTAAAGCAGTACATTGGTTTAATGTAAATAATCTTCTCCTCGATGAAGAAAAAACAAAATGCCTAAAATTTGTACTACCAAATGTTAAAAAAAGTAGATATAAATGTGAATCTAAAAGATAAGAACATGGGTCTTGAGGATACTACAGTATTTTTAGGGATAACATTAGATTCTAAACTACAATGGGGCCATATTGATAAATTCTCGAATAGTCTTAGCTCTGCAGCATATGCCTTAATGAAGATACGTAGATTAACTGGCATAGATACTGCCAGATTAGTAGTATACTTCAGTTACTTTCATAGCGTAATGTCGTACGGAATCCTATTGTGGGTAAATGCTGCCCACATACAAACGATTTTTGTGCTTCAGGAAAGAGCAATAAGACCAATTTATAATCTTAGGATTAGGGACTCTTTAAGGGAGAATTTTATTGACTGTTGCTTCTCAATACCTATACGAAACATAATGTACGTCCGTAATAAAAAATAGTTTTTTTCTTTTCTATAAAAAGTGATGTGCACAATTTGAATACACGAAATAAAAAGAAATTAACGATGCCTGTCACTAGAATGCAAAAATTTAATAACTCATTCAGGGTCGTTGTGTGTGTATATATAATAAGGTCCCAAGCAAAATACAACAATTTATATCTACTACATATTAAAAAATACTTATTAAAAAAAGCTTATTACAAGGTATCCGATTATATAACAGATAAGAATGCTTTGAATTAAGATCGTCCAGCAACTGGATAGGTAATTTCTTCTGAACTCATAATATCACAAAAAATATCTTGTTGCCATTATTATAAAATTATCATGTTATCATTATAAGACCATAGTTTTTTTTCTCTCTATTCATAATGTATTGATCTGGTAATGACAAGGTTTTTGTGAATGTCATTACTCCTATTAGAGCTGGTGAGTTTCTTGCTTGTTCTTCTAATCAGCCAAAATACGTCCTGAACGAGTGGTAGGGAAAAAAATGTTGGACGATTCAAAAGTACTTTTAGGAAGTCTATTTAAATATTTTGACTTATGAGCTTCCCCGTCAGTAGGTATATCGAGAAAATATATAGTGGTCCCGATGGATGATATAGTGAATATGGGAGATGAGAATCCTTTAAGCAAACGCGATGGAAATCGTTCTGAAGATACGACTGATTCAATAATGGAAGAGCAGGTATGGATTTGTGTTAACTATAATATAATAGGTATATATTTGAATGATAATTTTGTACGGGAATATTACTATGTACATTATTCTTATTGAGTTCCCTATGTATCAGCGCTCTAATATCGGGAACTCAATAAAAAAATAAAGGTAGCAATCCTGTATAAAACTACCATTTTAATGGAAATAACTATGAAAACTTAAAACAGCAAATAAGTATATAGTCTAAAAAAGTGTGTGTAGGTAAATTTCGCTCTTTATTGTTTTTGCATGGAAAAGCATCATCGAAGGGTACTTATTCGTGTATCGAGGGCTTTACTGGCTGGAAATGAAGATGATATTAAGATTTCTTCTAATGGTTCTAATAAATTCCTCGTTATGCCATACCGACGCATTCATCGTGCTCAGATTGATTTGGAAGCACGTGCTGACTCTAATGAACTAATACGTGTTGGGTATCTATTGGCATTTTTCAGTTACCTACTAAGTTTAGTATAATAATGATTAATGTTTCACAACATTAAATACTTGCATTGATCTGATCAAAGTCGCGAAAACCCGCGTGTTATGGAATTCTGCAAATTGACCCAGCCGGAAATTGAATCCCTCGGCGGTGATATCATAAAATCTAAAGGCAAACGCTCAAGAGGTCGATCAATAATCCAATGAACAGATCAAATACAAAACACTTGATCAAATCTTTCTTCTTTATTTTAACATTAATACTTAAACATATTACTTAATTAATCTTTACGTTAGTGAATAACTATGTTTCTCAGGTCATCTGGCAGTTTAATAACTATTGTGGCTGATAACTCAAGACGCACACGTTCATCGTTAACAGTTCAAGCTACCAACAAAGGTTTGGCCGCTGCTCGATTTAGGCAAGTGAGGTCTTTTTCTGTTCCATAGTTAATTAAGCCTGTGATCCAAAGGTTTGCGAACTACATGTATAAAAAAATATTTTCTTTATTAGAGTATTCTCTAAGTTTGCTATGTTATTAGAAATAAAGGACAACGCTCAAAATGTATGGAAAAAACCCAGGCCTGGCACTAACGAAATGTTTTTCATATTAAAGATATAAATGAGTGAGTGAATACTGCATAGGGGGCATCATTAAAATAGATGGTTATATGTGTAATATTGCTATTCGAATTTTACTGGGGTCATGCCCTGCGATTCTGTAGAAAGCCAAACCCGAATTGGAATTCACTCAGTTGTCTGAATTCAATTCAAATTTGAATTGGTAACAACGTTTTGTGGCATGAGTGAAGTCAGTTTCGATATGACATAGGAATAGAATATCCGAGACACATATATTCAATCAATTTTGTTTCGTATTTTTATACAAAAAATGGATAGCATTTATACAATAAATGACGTGGGTTCGGACACATGAGTTTATTTGAACTCGGGTCTGGATTTTTACAAAATCTCAGGGCAATATTCAATGAACTTATGAAAGAGCATTAAAAGTTAGAGAACAAACGATTACAAAACAGCTTAGTCATTCTATGTGACAAGATTAACATTTAAATAATGAAAGATAAAGAAAAACAAAACTATAGTTATTTTTAGTATTTTATCGATTTATAACGTCTACATCTACACTCTCCAAATATGAAATGTTCTTGATAAAAATGAAGCTAATCTGTTTAAGTGTATCAATGACTTGCTTCTCACACCAGTTCACTTACTTTTCATATATATATTTAACTCACTAGTTTTAAGATTTATTTTCGAACTACTGAGAGGTAGTGATTGAACTGAACAAGACAAGCCAATATGAACACAAACCAATTGGAGAAACATGAAGGACAGAGTTTTGTGCAAGCAAAATGTACTGTTTTCCATAATGTTCCTTTTATTAATATTTTTAATACTTGGCCCCAGTCAAAATTCGGATGGCAATATCACACATTCAGCCATCTATTTGGATGATTCCCCCTGTGCAGTATTCACTTACTCATTTATATCTTTAATATGAATAACATTTCTATTTGTGCCGGGCCTGGGTTTTCTCCATACATTTTGAGCGTTGTCCTTTTTAGATAAATTGTTTTGAAATAAAATAGGAAATCACGTGAAAAATCACTATAAATTTTATATTTTCAAAATTTTATAAAATATAAAAAAATACTTTATTAAGTATTTTTCACAGAAAAACTTTTAGTATTTATACCGAACTCTTGGTGTACAAGTTCGACCCGCGCTATTTTCTGGTTGTTTTAATCGTATCCTTACCGAAGACGTCCATATATACTAGAAGTATTTGCTTTATAATTATGATATCTATTTAGAGTTAAGGTTCGCGACTGCAGCCCGGATGTCAATGATATGATAAGAAAATCGAGCGAACAGCTAATAACAGATCCAGTTCTCATAGCTCCCAGACACACACATCGTTTTGTTGTAGAGCTGCCTTTAGAGTTGCCCTTGGATGTTACACACTGTTCTAGTTAGTATAAAAAAAAGTATTCTTAACAATATTAGTTCATTAATCACATTATTATACAAAACGTCAGATTCCAAATTGCAACCTTAAAATGATTATGGTTAAGTTCAAAATTGATTGTAGAAATATGGTATTTTATTAATAAAGAAATTTATGTATACTATACATATTAACAATGTGTCTTGTAAATTGTCCTGTCCATAAGGAGTCCAGTTTAGTACATAATAAAATATATCTAGGCAAAAACAGCATTTTATTTCTGTTCTTTTACGAAAAACCAGAGTACAGTCAACAGCACGTCATTCAGTCTATACCAAACTGTCAAACCTGCAATGCAGCCATGTATACAAATACTCATATGTCCTCAAAACTCAAATTGTTCGATATCAAGGGGTCCTAATAGAAACCTAATTTGCACTGGGCTCAATCTCTTATGCCCGTTTTCACTAAACTTAGGAGTCGCTCAAATCTGTCACCTAAATATTTAGGAATCGCCTAAGGTGAAAATGCATTTCACGTATGACTTGTAACTGGTCAATGTCTAATGCCATGATATGCGTTATGAGCAGAGGTCGGAATTAGGTAGAGTTATTGCCGGGATTTCTTTATTTCTTTCATTGATGTAAGTTTGGCAACGTCGTGCGTGCAGTAGTTTAAATTGTGTAAATGTAAATAACTTTTTATTTAAAAAATCATGGGATTTTTTCTGCTCTTTAAAATTAATCTCGGGATTTGAGGCATATCCACTTTATTCTTTCGCTGTATGAAATCAGTGTAAGTACATGAAGAACTCTACCTAATTCCGACCACTGGTTATGAGGCGCCTTGCGATACGTATCTCCGTAATATAACAGTTCAGAAAGACCTATGGATTTAATCTCATCAGTTTAGGCGATTCATAAGATTAGGCGTTTCCTAGTTAGGCTATCCCTTGTCTAGGTCAGTGAAAAGGGCGTTAGTTTACGATAAAATAATCTATTCCTCATTGCTATTGTTGTATTTTTTTTTGCAGTAGCATTAGTAAACGACGAAGACGAATCAATAGCGGTGAGAGAAGTTGCGATAAAAAAAGGAGATCGTTGTTTCTGTATATGGCACTGCGACTGCGTCTGCTTGGGTACCTATTACAAACAATCATTTATTTATTGTTTTACATACAAATTAAACTACTTTTGCAGTTTAATTTGTAGGTGTATTAAGAACAATTTTTTTCTTGAAAATAAATACTAGAGTAATTGCTTTTATTTTAAACTAGGGCTTCAATTTCCCTTATTCGTCTGTAATTTCATCTGTAAAGTACATACTAGTTAGGCAAGTAAATAAATACATACAGTATCAAAATAATATATATTTTAACCAAATAAAATTTTGCACATTTTGCTGTCTTTGATGTTTCATTCCTGGCCGGCAGATACTCAATTGCCTCAGATTTAGTTGACATTGGATTCAAACAAAATACCTACACTCTGCATTCAATATTTTATTACACATTATAATGCAATTTGATACTATGCATTTATAATGCCCGACAAAATCGAGTTAAAACTCTGCGGTCTTATTCAGTATATATTCATACATGCCTAGTAAGTAGAGCAAGAAGATACCTTACATGCTTACTGGCTAACCTTAACTGGTTAAAATCATTGTCTTAATTTAATTTTAAATGTTATTAACAAGGCACTATGTCGTTCATGTGAATGCCAGATGAAGACCCGAAGCTACTGTGTCGCGAGATGGCTGACGCACGCCAAGTAGCCGCTGGGCTATCACCACGGGGACGAGCACGTCGAGCGCGTTTCGCATGCTACCCTGACATACTTTGTGTCAACATATCTGTCATTATCATGGGAGTTCTTGTGGCGCTATTGATGCTAGGTTATAGTTTCTTATATTAATTTACGCTAATGATTAAACTTGGAGCAGCCATAGCACAAAACCTCTTTTCTGTGTTCTGTGAGTTATAGGTACAAATCAATATTTGTAGGTAGTCAACGCGGCTATTGGACTCTTCTTATACGCCCGCTAACATAGTTATACGCTCAGGCTCCTTACTCTCGAACGCAATTGCGATGGATCGACATTGCAATTGCGCCGTTTCGTTTTTCACCAGTACTTAACTTTATATCATATAACAAAATTGCATAAATCCATGTCTCTGTCTTCTGTTACCTGCCCCCTTACTCTCGAACGCAATCGCGACCGATCGAGTGTAACTTGAGTGTAACCAATCAAGAGAACGAAACGACACAATTGCAATGTCGATCGGCTGCGATTGCGTTCGAGAATAAGGGGGCTGGTTACATAAGACAGAGACATGGATTTATGTATTTTTTTAATATGCTATAAAGTTAAGTATTGGTGATAAATCGAATTTGCAAGTTTAACGTTATATCAAATTAAATTCCATCCAATAGCCGTTAATATGACTAACCCTTGAAATGCTTCTCTCGCGCAAATTAACTTTTTTTCATTATTTAAAATTAAAACGAATAAACTAAACACATTCCTATTACATTACAACAGAAGTGATTGTCGAAAGTTAGAAATACCGAAGACATCGGTATTTAAATTTATCGTACTAAACGTTTTTATATATAATATAAATTCTCTGAATGATAATAGGTTTTTCGCTTCGTTCTTCGTTTTCAAAGCATATTCACTTAAATAATTTGAAATTGTTTTGATCAGGTTTACTCAAAGCCATTTCGGGACTTTTCTTCCACTGTATAGCAAAATGGGGATTGTACAGACTGATTCAAACGCCAAGAAAATTGGAAAAATATCACGAATATTGCTTGAAAAATAGAAATGTGGTTTACGATGATGAAGGCTGGCCAGTTCATCCAGATACTAAAAAACGGACCGTTCGTTTATTGAGCAAGTGAGTTTTTTATACTAACGGCGAGTTGCACAAACGTTCATTAAGGTTTAATAACGCCTTTAAGCTTTAATGAATGTCAAATTTGTATGGGTAATGTCACTTTAAAATAATGAGAACTTTAATGGACGTTCGTGCAACTGACTGTTAGTCCCTGAAATCATTTAACCTTTTCCCAAGTAATTATAACACTTATTTTAAATGGTCGTCTAGTAAAAAACAAGGAAGAATATTTGCTGTGCTTCTTACCTTAGAAAATCATCTGAACGAAAATCAGATCAAAATCATTTATTCAGTCTAAGCTGTTACAAGCCCTTGTAAAAGTCGAAACTCTCTGCCATCTTTTAGTAAATCTAAGGCGCGAGAGGGGAAACCTTAACATATTTGGTTAAAATACCTTAACATGGATATCGCAGTTCGATTTTAATGAATTAACTATTTATTTTTAATGTTCCATTTGTAGGGAAATGGAATTCGTCCTAAACTTAATATTTTTCATCGCGGTGCCGAGTTTGATGTTGTGGGACGCCATAAAATGGTTGAGATGTGTGACCAGCAAAGCTAAAAAAGAAACAAGGGTGGCTGATGACAAAATGAGGTGTTTCAGTACTCAAGACATGCAGGTAAGGGACATGCACATAATCTACTCTCAAGTGCTCATAAGAGAGTGCTCGTCCACGGTGGTGAGATCGCACGGTGACGACGGCAGCGGGCACGATACGATACACATAGAAACCTTGAAAATAATAATGTCCCATCAAAGTCAATTACTCGATTAATCAAACCAGCCCTAGTCAGGTATTCTCAGCCTAACTCAATCGAAGCTATTTTAACTTCAAAATGCGCAGTTATGTACGTTCATAATAGAGTTACCACCAATGTCGTTTCTACCGGGACAGATCTAGTTTATCTAGTTTTAATGATATCATCAATAATATAATGTATAATGATAAACAAATATTTTATCCCGTTTTTTGATATCCGAACTGAGCGCCACTTCTCACGCCTCACCATAGGCATTGCCTTCCCCTTTTTATGTCTTGATACAGTTTTTTGATAGATATCCTTTCTGGTTCTCGCTAACGAACGACAGTTTGACTGTCCCGATTTTTTCTCTAAAAGCTGGCAACCCTGGTCCACAGTTTACAAAATTTAAAATAAGTCTAAATGTTAGAACAACTCGCGGAACGCTATGGCCTATCATTAGTCACCTCTGTGCCGACAGGCAGTCTGCCACCGCGCGTTCACCGTGGACGCAAACTGACGGTGAGGAATTGCACTTAACGCGTAGATTAGATTATTTTAAAACCTTTTTAATTATTAATTCAATATATTTTAATGGGAATGTCGTTCAGAGTGAAGTGCAATTCCTGACTGTTTGTAGGGCATGCAACCTCGGCGTCATAGGCGGCGCGCAGGCTTACAACGATGGATGACTACACCAGCCGAGGAACTGTCTAAAGATATTTGGAATAAGGGACTGCGACCCGTAGAATGTGAATTTGTGAGATACTTTACAAATTAAGTCCATTTACAGCCCCCAATAATTGTGCCAGATACACATAGATAAAATTCTGGGAATGATTTAAGGGATGGTCTACCTCAGGTAGGTAGACCATCCCTCAAATCATTCCTTTGCTACATTCTATATCTTTGTTATTCACTTCATTTTGACAAAATATTTACAATGACTTCATAAATAACGTAACTACCCAAGTAACATTATGCTAAGGCGTTCTAAGGCGTTTAGTTTTCATATAGCGACAGAAAAGATCTATAACAGTAAGTATTGTGATTGAGTGCACTCTAACGTTATAACGTTATAACATTAAATAAAGCAACAAGAGCATAATGTTTGATATATAGTTTCATTATTATTAAAAATAACTTTTGTTTTTTTTTTTATTTTAGAAGTTGAATAATTGTGTTGAGAAGATTGTGTATACTTTGAGAATATATTTTTTCTATTTAAGACAAGAAATCAAAAGTTTTATGTTTTTCAATTTTTTTTAGGTTAATTTCCTTTTGCGGGGTAGTCTCTAAGGGTTATAAATATAGTGAAATATCAAAGCACTAGCTCTATCATACAAATAATACATATCTAACATTATTTGAACATAATTACTGTCTTTTCCCTGGTTTAATATATTAATTTCAATTTGTTAAGTTCACTTAATTGAGAAGGCTTCATATTTTCTAACAATGTGTGAAAGTTTTTCTTCTTCTCACGTAAAATTTGCTTATAGCATGCCAGTAGCTCTTTAATTTCCCGTTTTGTAGGAGACACGCGCTCTTCGTTGGAATTTATCTTTTTTCTAAAAAAATTTATTGTACTAAGGCCTACTGTTTGAAATCGCCATTTGATTTTCCAGTTCAACAGGGTCTAACGAACGAATCAGTTTGTTCGATGTCTTGATCATGCTCACTCATTTCTATTAGCTTTTCAATCGTTAGTTCTTGATTGTGTTCTTGAAAGTCTCTAATAATATTTAATTTACTCTCCAAAGACAGTTTTATCGTTTCTTGTTAGGATCAAGTGACAAATTTTTCGGTCTTTTAGATAAGCACTGCTATCGTAAAACAACAAGGTATTTGACGCTTTTCTGGGAACTATTTTAAATGGATTTTGATAGACTATAAACACACTGTCAATATATTTCATAAGAATCTGTCCTATTTTCGATGAAAATAATTATTAAAATTTAAATATAAACTTTTAAATTTTCGCGTTGCATTATATAAGATTGTTTGAAACAGGTATTAACGCGATAGATTGATAGTTAGGTTTTTCACCTACCTTTACGTAGAATGGGAAATGATATAAAGCGTCACTGGAGTTTTTAAAATAAAAATAGATGTGATGACGACGCTTATATATTTCAACTATCGAGCAGATTTATCATTTTTAGAACCCTTATGTAATGTTTTTAGAACGAATCAGTGATAAAACTAGGGCCTATTTTACGTTTTCTAAACGCTTACAACTATAAATATAGTGCTGATCCCTGAATACTAATTAGAACGAGCTTAAAAACGTTCTTGAAGCTTCTATAGCACTGAATTTTACTGCTTGGATAATTTCCTTTCTATATCGGCACACAGCGCAAATACCTTCCCATCATCATCATCGTCATCATCATCAGCCCTTTTACGTCCCCACTGCAGAGGCTCAGGCCTTCCTTATGGATGGTTAAGGAGGATGGGCCATGACCCTCCACCTTCCCATAGTAACTTACAATGCACATGATATATACCTACTAAAAAAAAGTATTTTGCTATATCGCATTATTTGTGTGGTAAGCTAAGTAATCTCTCGATTCAAATTTTTAATTGAATTGCCTCTTTAGATGCGACCCTTGCTTGCTGAACGGCAATACAGACCTGATGATATGTCTTCGTGTCTAGATTCGGAACAGGATGACGCAGAATACGTGCTTACTCAAATGCACAAAAGCAAGGAGTCACTTGCTGTTAGTATCTACTTTCTTAAAATTAAGGATAGTACACTAGCCCGAATTCTAATGAAGTTTATGAAATTTATAACCGTTTAAGAATATTGGTTTTAATATTTATTTTTCAATATTTTTAACGGCATATTTATGTATCGATATAGCAATGTTATGTTATGAAATTGTTATAGACAATTTCGTTGCCGTTTTTATAATACCATTTGTGTTATTTTTTGTATTAAACTTGTGAAAATTTAACATAATAATTGGTGCTCCATAATTTTGTCTTTTGCTATTCCAAACACTATCATTATTTTACATTTTTTGTCATAATGTTAATAGGATATAGGAAGTAGCCTCTATTTATTCATACGCCGACTGACTGATATTGTTTATATGGTTTTTCCAGGAAGTTGGTTACCCTACTTATATTATTATTATTAAAGCTAAATGAAATACATAATTCTCTCTGTCTTCCAGAAAAGTCAAAGAAAAATTATTGAGTCTGAACCTTCTACGGTCCGAAAACAACTCAACGTGGAAAATAGCACAAGAAATGGCAACAATTATAATTAATCATTATACTATAATTATAATCTATATTATGATAATGTTATGAAGAGGAAAGATTTAACTGTTTGTTTATTTGCATTGAATAGGCTCCGAAACTATTGGGTCAACCTATGAAAGAATTTAAAAAAAAATGCTTACCGTTAGGCGGAAAGCAACATCATATGTGGTGGACAAAGATTATATTTTATAAAGAAAACAGCAAATAAATAGAGGGATGAAAATGGGAAAGAAAGTTTATAAAGGGAAAAATTATACCATAGTAACGATTGTTTACCATTCAATTTGTCATTGTAATGAGGAAGTATTTAAAAAAAACGAACGCGCTAAAAAACACCTCCACTAGATGGCGACTCTAGCAAAAGTTGATTTTTGCAGGAAACGAATGGACCAAAGACAGTTATTTCCGTTCCTATTAACTAACATAATAAAAAACTGAAATTTGAAAAGTTCGAAACTTAGATATCAATACAAATACGAAAAAGTACAAATAGAATACGAGTTGATTATTGAGTTTTGAAAATTAATTTACTTTTAAACATGAAAGAAAACCGGAAAGGTTGTCATGGAGAAGTCAAGAACGTACCGTAGCAACATCTAGTTCGATTTCGGGAACTAACGTTTTTTTTTAATACTTCCACATTAAGATTAGTAAAAAATATGTATAAATTTCATCGCCTCCGCTACAAGCTTTTTAAATCAATTACTGTTAGAGACAATTTTGATTATAAGTACTTGAAATGTTTAGATTATTTATTTACGTTTTAGTCAAGTTTTAGAGCGCACAAATAAAAGCTTGTTTTTAAAAAAAACTTTTATTATTTCTCCCAGAACACAGAAAGTTTATGTGTTCTATGGAACTGTACTTACCCCATAAGTAATTTTGATGTCCTTAATAAATATTTAAAGAAGAACTATTTAAAAATTAAAAATTAGTTCTCGTAATCAAACTTGATGTCACTAGCGATATTCATTTAAATTTTGTTTCTGGCGTTAAAAGTAAATTGAGTATCAAAAATTAATAAATATCACATCTTCTTGTGTTTCTTATAATATTTACCTTTCAAATTAATTTTAATTTAGTTGAATCGTAAGTTTGAGTTATTTATTATATTACATGTAAAGGAACGATATTTGGTTTATATGTCAACATTAGTGATGGACAACTTATTGTTTGCTTGTAACTTCAATTGACTCGATTCATCCTAATTCAGGTATAACATCAAGAACAAAAAGCAGAGCGTAGAATTCAGCTTGTTTTTTTTTTATATACAGTATTTCCATATGTGCCATTATGCATCCACACGTCGTCCAATTATATTAATATAAATATCAAAATATAGTGAATATGCTTTTAAGAACTAATTTATAGTTTTTAAATACTTCCTCGTTAATTCATAGCACATTTAAGTTTTAAAATAAAGTCCAGAAAAAAATAGAGAAATTGCTAATTATTATTAATAAGTTCTTTGAAAACTACGTCAACGCGTTTCGGACCGTACGTCGGTGGGTTGCTACGTTTCGTTTTATCCAGAATATTCGTTCGATATAAGGTAAAAAATACACATAAACAATTAAATTTAAATTATTCCCACAAATATGAGTAAAACCAAAATAAAACTATAAAAAGCTTGAACCTTAATAGATTAATATGTTACTAACTTGACAACAATCTCAAGTTTTGACATCTGCTATAACCTCAAAACATTATTTACAAATTATACATTTCTGAAAGATGCTTGGTTATTATTCTATTTTTTTTAATTTAAATTTAACACTTGGCCATTAAAAGTTTCACTGCACTTTTAAAAGAAAGCTATTACATTTATTAATAAATTAAGTACATTATTATTATTTCCAAACTTTATAAGAGACTACTCTACATAAGTACTTATTCGAATCATTAAGAGAATTCGGAAATGAATTCGAACTTTATCGCAATGTGATACTGACTACCTCTCTTGCGTGCGTTTATCTATGGCGTAAATGAATGACAATGACATTGGCTGACATTCCGTCTCGAACAAAAGTCAAGAGTTCGGATCAGATTTTTTTTAGGTATAACTTATCTTATTTATATTAACAATAACTCGGTATTACTGATGTTACGCAATCCAATAGTTGGTTAGGCAATGTAAGATTGTGAGTTATGCGTTTTCCGTTCAGACCAAACGTAGTGTTCAGACTTTGGCAGTCAAAGAAAAATATCCAGCTTAGGCACCCGTTTACAACAGGTACGTCTACGAGAGTTTCTTTGCTTTTTCGTCAAAGCGCGCGTGTGCATAAATATTTATACGCGGAACTACTTTGCTTACGTAGTTTTCTTGGATAACTGCCAGAAAATTAGATTAACATAAGTGTTTAATCTACCTATACAGCTCTGGTTTGGAGAGCCATGGAGGATAAAGAGTCTTTGAAGAAGCGTTTGACACCAATACAATATCATGTTACCCAAGAAGCTGGAACAGAGAGACCATTTACAGGTATAAATAAAAAAAAACATAAATATTTATAGAATAGTGAAATCTTAAACATGCTTACTTACATATTGTAAGTGTGCTTCAAATTGTTTAATTAATTATAGTTAAGTAAGCCAACTTTCTCTTTAATAAAGCTTTTTAAAATTTAACTTGCAATAAAATAATGATATTTTTAATTCTTGGCAACTATCTTAAACAATGCTAATTTATACATTATTCTTTATAAAATACATATTTATAAACAAAAAATTTGTTAACATAAAATAATCTTAAAGAATTATCTATGTCAATTGCTTGTAAAAGCAGCTTAATTTGTTTTACAGGTTGCTACAACAAATTATATGATGAGGGATTATATGTATGCATAGTTTGTAGACAAGAGTTGTTTAGTTCTAAGACTAAATTTGATTCCGGTTGTGGCTGGCCTGCCTTCAATGATGTTCTCGCCAAAGAGAAGGTCACATTACATCAGGACACAAGTGCAGGTATGACACTTATGTTATATTTGAATTAAGTTCTCAAATCTGTTTTATACTTGTTACTAAACTATCAGACTTATTTATACATTTTTGGAATTGTACATGACTATAAACAATCACATTGCTCCGAGTGTCTAACAATAATGTTTAACCATTGTCCATTATTTCATTATTTTGCTTTTACTAAAATAATCTAATACTTTATATGTTACTGACACTCTACTTCATAATAAATTCATGTATTATATGCTCCTCCTTATAACAAATACATAATATAGGATGATTTTAATTATACATTTCTAAATGAACCCTATGAGGCCTATGCCCAGCAGTGGGCGTCTCTCGGCTGAAATGATGATGATGAAATGAACCCCTGTGAAGCCACTAACTATAATGTTGATAATGAGATGTTGTGTCAATTTTCACTCAATACCTGTGATATTTGGGGTTATTATGCTATGATTTAAAATACAACAGACATATATAATATATACATGGATATACAGACATATTATGTCTGTAGGCTAACCAAACCAAACGTAACCAATATCAATACCACTGAACAATAGATAATACCAGTTGGTAATCCCATGAGAGCTATTTCAATTTAACATTATGTAGGAGGCCTTCATGGGTTGAATTTCAATGTTGTGAAATTTGCTTTAAATATAAAATTGAAATATTACTGTACTGTAAATATTCATGACTACCATTCCAATCCTAAAAGTTTATTCATATTTGTCACTTGTTTTATAATTCCTTGACTTCTAGGTAACTTAGTAAATTGTGTTCATAGTTAAGATAAGATTAGGTGATAGAAATATTTATATGATGTCTGTTTCATAAGAGACAGATATATTGTATAAGGTTGCTTTGTGACCTTCACAACATATCAGCATAGCATCAAAGATAATCAAGTGTACTTAGCATTATATTTCATCAATTTCACATTCACAATGCTATACTCAGGGTGCCAGGGATAAAGTAGATTTTTTAAATAGTGTATTAAGAATAGCGTACTTATGGTTCAATTTATCATTAAAAAGGCCTGTTGTTATAATCGATATATTTGGCCAAAAATTTCTAGTTTATATGAACCTCTAGGCTTTGCCCTAAATATGTATGTCCATGAATCTTGATGAAACAGATGTCTTCACTAGTGTGTGGATAATATTGATAATAATATGGACAGAAAATGTCCTGTTTTCATTAGTTTTTTTTATTTTTATAATATTATTTTAGCAAGAAGTTATAAATTATTCTAAATATAAATTCTACTTGATGAAACAATAGTTACAGATGTCTTCACTAGTGTGTTGATAATATTGATAATAATATGGACAGAAAATGTCCTGTTTTATTTAGTTTTTTTTTTTATAATATTATTTTAGCAAGAAGTTCTAAATTATTCTAAATATAAATTCTACTGATATTTATTTAAGTAACTGTAATAGTCGAATACTTTATACAAATGTTCTGTAACATTATAAATATATATAATAAGTCAGTGTGTAAAATAATTCACTTTTCTAATACACTGTATTGTACATACACTTGTAACAACTGACCTTATTATCTCCTTTTATGGCAGTCTACCTTGCCATATAAAACATTGATCCTTGACACAAAAGGTGGCCAGTTGGTTAATAAGGGAACAATAAAATTGTATACTATAAGTTTCATCAGGCAAAATATTTATAGTCCCACCAATCTAGTCTTATAGTACATACCTGCCGCTGTCACAGTCCAATACCTACTTCTCAAGAAATTACTTCAAGTAACAAACTTTAAATTTTTTATTATTTGAAATGTATATTATGTCATGAATACACAATGGAAATGTTTACTTGCTTTAGAATATTCTATTTGTTTCCATATACATCCCATAATTTGTATGGCTTATTTTTCATGCATGCGCTTTGTATCTTATTGACTCCATACCTCTATTTTACACATTAATATGGTATAGCTATGTATGGTACTTCTTATTTGTTCAATAATATTGTATCAATATAGCACATATGAATGTTACTGTTTATGTTACTTTTATATTGTTAGTAATTTTGTGCGGTTTGTAATTTATTTAATACACATTTACTTACAGCACACATAACAATCTGATTGAATTATAAGCTTTCATTTTAGTTTTGGTAAAAAATATCCATTCTTTTTTAATAAAATTTTATAGTATTCTAATAAAATTGAATTAGGCTAGTTTTATATATATAATTTTATTTGATGAAATATACCTATTCATTATTTTTTAGTACATTATAATGCTTATCAAAATTTGATCTATTGTTCCTATAATATTCCTTAAAGTTATAAAATGTACATTTATTTTGGTGTCGGGAATATAAATGTCGGTGCTAATATATTTTTTTATCTTTTTTTTCCGTCTATCTTCCCCGTACCTTTGACCATCCTTCGATTACATTCCTGCCTCTCCACATCAAACGTAAGTGGGCCTCGATCGGTAAAAATATAATACTTTATTTTATTATGCTTCATTCATTGCAACACATTATATTACAATCTGTTATATGGCAACGCTACTCACTACATAACGCACTGCTCTTAACATTAATTTTAAATATTTTTTTTATTGGACTGTCAATCTCATATGCATAAACTGATCTATCTCACGTTAATACTCGCCATTTTGTTTGCCGTTCGCTAATTGCACAATGTACCATTGTTCGTGTAAATATCTAACTGTTGTGGAATGTGCATGACAATAATATGCATTTGCCCTGTCCCCAAAATGCCCCGTCTTGTCCCCGTCCTGCTGCCCCTTCTGGATGGCTGCTGGATGGACGACGCGCTCCGGCCCCCGCCGCGACGACAACAATCAATCATCACATCAACACGGTGAAACTCATGGGATATACGACCATGTTATCTATTTCATCCATTGTTTTATATACCCGTGTAAATAATTGGTTTTGGTGAATGGACTCCTTGTTGAATTAAAGTTGGAGGGAATATATTACTGGTTTTAACACGGCCAGGTTTGGTGCGAACTGAGGTGCGATGCTCCAAGTGCTCCGCACATCTGGGACATGTGTTTGACGATGGGCCTGCACCCACCAAGAAACGTTTTTGTATTAATTCGGCCTCAATGGACTTCATACCAGCTGAAGAACGTAAAGACTAAATAATACTTGTGTATACTCGTAAACGTAATAAAGTGATAAAGAGCTATTATTTATATTAATTGAATGAGCTAATAATAAATACTAGGGCCTGGATAAATATATATGTTGGAATAATATATAAAAGTTTAACGATTTGGTCTAAATGATTTTTCCACATTCAATGACTGTGACTGAAGCATACTCCATCCATGGTTCAGATAGGTTGAAAAATGCAAAATTACCTATTTTTGTGAATTAGCTCTTGTTCTAATATATTAGATATATAGATGATTGTGATTTGATTTTGTAAAATATGAACCTCAAATTTGTAAAACCATGGAAAATGGAAAATAAAAATTCATTTATCGGGTTCCAAATCAAATACGATAACTATCGTAGCTAAGATATTTTCCAATGAAAATAGTGTGGATAAAAAATATGTTTTTACATATTCATCAGGGCCCTATATCAATATAATTAAATGCGCTTTTAATATAAACTAATAATTACGGGTGAGTGTGAAAAATGATTTTCGTATACATGCAGACTAATTTACGTTTTAGCAAATAATGTTTCCTTAATAAAATAACATAATATTGTTTTATTTGCTATTTTAAAACTATTTGTCCAACTTTGCTTTATATGAAAACAAAATCTTGTTTTTTTTTTTTACCTTCACATCAGTTATACATAAAATGCCTTCAAATAAGACACTTTTAAATAAGCATACAATCCAGTGAATTTAGTCGAAGAGCTTTTATAATAGAGTACGTGAGCCAAGCTTCGAGATGTTACTCTGTAGAATTTCCAATTTATTACTGCAGACAAAAAATATGGTTACGACCACTATCTACCTGCCTTTTTATCAAAGTACATAGGTCTTCCCTACTCTAGCATAATAGCCCTTCTACAACACGACACTTTCGTCGCAACCCTGCCTCTGGGTACATCAACAACACGTCATATTATAGAAATATTTTCAAATTTCTCTAATTAATTTTAAACCTTAATATTTTGAAGATAGAGATTATACTTGAGAAATTAACCTAACCTTTGGCATCCTAACATTCAGCCGTGTACATTGATATTATATAAAGTTATTGTTGGTAGTGGTTGGCGCATACATGCACGCTATTATAACTTTAAGACGATGTAAACAGTCAAATAAATTAAGCATCGTATATTTTGTATTGTTAATTTCATATGCTAAACCCGGCAACTGATAATAGTCACTAGTGAAATAACTGAATAAATAAAAGTATTTGTATAAACCTATATTTATATTTATCAGTCAATGTTTAAACAAAGTCAGCTTGTGAAATTGTTACCATTAAGTTATTTTATTTTAAAATCTAATTATATTTTGGAATGAAATTTAATTCAAAGTGAACAATAAATATTTTTCATTATTATTTCTTTTTTTTTAATAATATTCCTGTCAAATAAGAGTGCATCAATCAGTGGCGTAATTATACCGTTTGAGGGCCGTGGGAAATTCATCTGACTTTTTTTTTTTACTAATCGTGTTATAATAAATATCAGGAGTAAGGAGTCTCCTTTGACAGGGGGCCCCTTCCAGCTGGGGGCCCGTGGCATTTTGCCGACTTGCCACCCTGTAGTTACGCCAATCAACCCGTTTGTTATTGCTAGAAATAATAGGAATGACGACTGGGTAAAAAATGAAGAAATTCTACTTAGTCTAAAAAACTTAAAACTAAAAATATTAGATATTTTACTTCAATTTAACAAGAAATAACATTTAAGTTGAGGAGTGGGGTCCACGAGGGCGTAGCTGCTGGCGGAAACCTATTTTTCTCTAAGACAAAACATGTCATTTATAAATGTTAAAAAGAAAATTCGATACGTCCGCCTCTTTTAACTCTGTAAAACAAACAATCCCATTGTAAAGATATGTAGACGAAGTTTTTAACAATCACTAATCACCTTTAATTAATTCTGGACACTACATAGTTGTTTAGCTTTTAAATTAAATAGTCATAGCACTTCAAAGGAATGACCTTGGATTCAGCGCGTTCAGTCGATCTGCCACAGAGGGCGCCACATAATGAAACATCTTTGCATAACCAAATAAAACGACGAGCGTTCATGGTGAGTCTTTTATTATAGTATGGTTGTAATTTATATGCACAAGTTGCTCATACATGGCACTGGTGTTTACAACTGATGTAAATCATGAAAAACGTTTCTATTTAAATGTCTTGTACAGTATCCTATTACATGTATTAATACATTTTTCACTTATGCTACATTCATAATTACATTTACTTTCTCAACTTATCATACTCTAACGCATACTCAAATTCATTTTCATGATCACATGGTTTAATACACTTCTTAGAATATTAAAGTTTTAGATACTGAATAACTTTGTTCAAACTCTCTTGTAGATTTGGCTATTTTTACATTTTCTACATTATTGCACTATTGCTACGGTTGGTGCATTCTCGATATATTATTGAAACTGTTTTAGTGCACTTGTGATAGGCCACTGTAAATTACGCATTTATTACTAATGTATTTAGGCCGCAACGCACAGGCAACTTATACAGAAATATTTGTAACTGGAGCAGGTATATCTAGCTTTCTATCACGATAGTATGCAAGCAATGAAGATATTTAGTAATGGAATAAAAATAAAAAAAACAATTTGCACCAACCTATATAACCTGCACAGATACTAAATAAATAGCTTTAATTGGTCACTTCATATTGTCAATCAGTAAACTACTGTCTGTACAATTTACAGTATACGAGCATCTACCTACAACCTCTTTCTGTCCTCGCATCATCACTCACACATTCGACCAACAATCATATTCAACACAGTAAGCGGACCGACGTCAAAATAAAACAAAGTTAACAGCGTCTTTCGGCACAACCTAAACAATAAAGCAGAGAGACTACGAAAAATCTTAAGACATAAAATACTTTGTATATAGGAATAAAATTAATATCATTAGATACTAATGAAACTATAATGATTGTCATAAGATATATATGTTGATTGAAACAAAAAAGAAATTGTTATATATTATTTTGATACAACCGAATATAATATTTCTTTTTTGCTCGTTTGTTCAATGAATATTTCAAAGCTATGGGTTTTGTGCCACGAAATTAATTACGATTCACAATCAATGTTATAAACTTTATAAACTTAATACTATGTAAATGCTTCACGTTCATCACTAACAATAAAATAATAGTTTAGATAAATTATAATGCAATTCGCGCTGAATCAACAATATCAGTCGCGTAAATTTGAAAATGAATCAAATAATATACATAACTTTCTCATGTCACACAATTAAACTGTTATCGAATTTCAAAAACATAGATTATACAATAATCTCATAATTATAATTAAAAAAATAATAGATGACAATAAAATGAAGGTTAATAATTTAACGGTAATATATATGTTGCACAATTAGTAATTACCATAAGCAATAAATGAAAGCCAATAGTACAAATTATTAATACATTAATTAAAATAATACAGATACAGCCTGGCACGGCTCTGCTGCAATCCAAACTCAATTCTTTTGTCAACAGGATTTTATAAAAAAGACTAAATGACGACACAGATTATGTTACGCAATTAAAATTGAATATAAATGTATTCTTTTAACATTCAATTATTTTACACTCTGTTTTAGTACAACAAAGCCGAGCCACTTATCTAATCTGTAAATTAAAATATGTATCTATATGTATAATTATACAAATTACATAAAATTTCATACACATATTTGCAAAATTTCAAATAATATTATTTAAATGATAATAATGTATCAATATAGACTATAATGCAAATGACAAGAACAGCTCACCGATACATAAGCTCGGTCAGCATTCATCACTCTTTCTTTACACTCCTCGCCTCTGTATTGATGTGTTTCAGCTCATACTGTTACAGCTACCATCACAGTGCAAGCTGAATTGGTACTAACGCAACGGACCAGTCGTAATCTAATATATAGTATTATATTTTACATGATCACCTAAACATTAACTGCCAGTCTTCATTTTGCAGCTAGAATATTTCGTTATTCTCCTCATATTCGTATCTAAACAACTAATCTCTATCTACACCCTATTCAACTTCTCACTTATAGAACAGTCGAACGAAACACGTCAATAGGAGATCACATGTCACTATCTATAATAAATAACGCTATTGACCGACACTGCGTCCCTCTAATAATAACCGAACTGCACTATTTTATTTCTTTGTGTAAAAATATGTCTAGCTATTTATATTATATTCGGCAATCTATGTGATGAGTTATAGAGAGATCACCGCAGTTAAATTCTCTGACTACATAAAAACTCTTCGGTAGACGAAAATCTCTTCTGTTTAGTTATTTTATTTTAAAGAACTTTTATAATAATAAACGCTTCACTGATAGTTTAGTTGTGCAATATTTAATATAAACGTAAGACTAACACGTCATTCATTAATTAACTCAAAAGATTGACATTATTGTCTTTGAAATCTTAAGATTAAAAAAAAACCTTTATTATGTTATGCTTATGACAGATTTATCAAAATGACACAACACTATTATTAAAATAATAATTATTTCATCCTCTGCTGAAAGGAATAGAATTCTTTGGCACAGTGAAGCGCATCGACTACAAAATCATTCCAGTCAAAGATCCGTCCGTTGTCACGTATTCTCATATTTGAAAGTATCATAACAGGAATTATTTAACGTCGAATCGGGCTGAGTCCGTGCACAGTTCGTTCGTAAAACACGACATGTGTTCTTTTTGTAACACAATGAGTTTAAAGTTCCGGTCGCAGTAATGAAATAGAATGTTAGATGTGAAGGGTACGCACGCGGGCGGGGGCGCAGGCACTGGAGGGTCCCGGTAACGCTGTGTCCGGGGAGTTATGCCTCGAGGACGATGGCCCGGAGTAGCGGGCCCCGCATACAAGAGGCCCGGGGTGACGGGGCCCCGGGGACACAAGTCTCGAGGCCCGTGGTGACGGGGCCCCGGGGACACGAGTCTCGAGGCGCTAGGGGTGTGGAGGCGCGGCGGGCGCCGGCGGCCTGCGCTAATGTCCCTTGGCCGCCTCCTTCGCCGCCATGATCAGCGGTGTCAGTGACGCCAACGGACGGGCCAACTTTAGGAACGGATGCTGAAAAGGAACTAGCCATTAATCTCATAGACCTTTACATTATTAGAAACCGACAAGCGCGGATCTCGATCCCACATCCACAGTTTGTTTACTGTTATTTTTTGTGCAAATGTCGTCAAGAGAGAAAGATAAAGTACCGCGTTCATTTATATCTTTCAAACTAACTGCGATCTCTTTCTGCAGACATTTGTTTTCCTACTCATCTGTCATACTTCTATGACTCACGCACAGTATATAAATAGATCATAAAAGTCATATATCAAATCTCACTAATTGATTTTAACTGTCTCTCTAGACAGACATTACATTACAATAATCTTCGAACTTTTAAAATTCCATATCCCTCTCCAAAATTTGTGAGATACAAATTTGATTTGAATACCTTGAGTAAATCTAGCGCTGTGGCACGTCTATCCACATCGACTTCTAGACACTGATCGAGGAAATCCTGGAAGACTGTGCTGAGTTTCTCCTTCTCTTTGATGTCCGGTTTACCGTTTGTCGCTATCAAATACAGCGCCCTTAGCGGATTCTCGTTGAGATACGGCGGCTCGCCCTCTATCATCTCTATGGCCATTATCCCCAATGACCACACGTCCACCTGATTTATAAGAAAAGTACAATTGGTAAGCAAGATTATCACGTGGAGAAATTGAAAAGTATATTTTTGAAAATAATCATATAATAATAATAATAAAGTTTATTTCGTTTATTTATATCGTAATAACCTGATGCAAACTATAAAAAAAAAATTATTGTTTGTAAATTTAACAAATAAACTTGATCTTAACATTTAAGATATCAATTCAGGAATCAACCCAAAAGCGAAGTAGTGAAGGAGTCAACTATACTGTGAATATTCTTAAATTCACAATTATACTGAGAATGGTTCAAAAAACTGTCAAATTTCTCAAAAAAAAAAAATATTTAAGTTTGAAGACTGTAATAATTTTACATTTTGTAGTGTCAGTCTTAGGTCACTATTGTATGAAATGATGTAAATATTCATTTTTATCAGGAACTTCGTTTTACATACCAAGGTTGGTCTTTCTTAGTTAAATATATTGTTATGGCAGCAATATCTCAACTCATTAAGATACATTTTAAAAATCTACATCCTTTAGTGTTCACTTACTTTAGGTCCATACTGCTTTCTCGTTACAACTTCTGGTGCCATCCAATAAGGTGTACCGACCATAGTTGTCCTTTTATTTTGCTCAGGAGATATTTGCGCACAGAAGCCGAAGTCAGCTGAACATTAAAACAACAACTATGTTACTTGCTATCTACTATATAACAACAGTAATAAAAATCTATAGGACCATGTTTGAATACGTCGAATTTAAACATTCGTATACTATACAATATTTTCGTTTAATTTGTATTGAGATCGCTCATTCTCCTTACGTGTAGTAGTCTTGCCGTGACAAGCGCAAATGAGCTCACCTGGAGACCCCCTGAGAATTAACGTAAATGCGTGTCTCTGTGTGCACATGATTTTGACCGTTTATTCTTAGTTTCACTACTTTATTATTCTGTGGTAATAATTTATATTTTAATGCAATTTATGTCATTAGGCCTTCTCTATGAATATAAACACAAACAAATTGCTAACATTTTTTTCCAAAAGATTTTACCCTTCGGGCGCTTGTGCACTACACTGAATTTTCAGGTCCGGCGGTCCGATTTTTTCCGGTCCGGAATGACATGAAAAACTCGGATGAGTAGCTTGTGCACTTGTCCGTTTTTTTCCTGATCGGAGCGGCGCAGTGTAGGGCAGCTCTCTTTGAAGCTACACGTCACTTACTCTAGGTACGATGAGATTTTTGGAACTTCGGTAATTGCGTTCGAAGACGTAGAAAGGTACCTAAATAATGACCTGATCATTTTACATAAACCATAATAATTATGGAAAGCATTTTTTTTTACTACTAACGAATGACTACTATCAGATGTAAAAACTTATACCCTTACTAATTTAGGAACAGCATTATTCACATACAATAGCTAAAAATATCTGTGACATTAGAATAAAATTACTGATAATGGTCTAGTACTTGATGTTTAAATTTATAAACGTGCTATTTTTTTCGAAGTTTTGTAAAAACAACTTTAAGCGATTATCAATCGGAGGCGTCATTTCGTAAACAAATCGAAATTAGTGCCGTGTAAGCGGAGAATTAATATGCTAAATGAACTTTACGAGATCAGTTGACTTTATTATATATAGGCATAATGTTATACGCGTGGTGCAAATACTTCTTTTTTTAATTTATTTATGACACAAACAGTCATTTCAAATTTTGTTACAACATAGACTTAAATGCGAAAAAGACATTGAGTGTCACTTAATTACTTCTGATAATCTTGTGTTTATTCTTTATTATTACTTCTGTTATCAAATATTTATCTATACTTATCAATTGTCTAAAAAAATTTTGATAATGACAAATTTCCTGGCAAACTTTCAACCCCTATTTTAGGCGATAAAATGTAGCCTATGTCCTTTCTTAAAGTTACTATATTAATTTCCATTAAGATGGGTTCAGTTGTTTAGGCGTCTAAACTTTATGTTACCTTACGTTATCGATACTTTTAATACGATTCTAAAATATAGCTAAGTATCGATACCTACTAGAACCATACGCTGATCAAATTAGAACTATACTGATTTTGCCAAAGCATATGTAGTGATATTAACCAACTTTATTAAATCATCATTTAAAATAAAGCATTTTATAATCTACAATAAATATCAATTATAATTTATTGGAAATTAACAATATCGCCGAAGTAAATATCGATTATACACAAATCGATTGTTTTTTCTCAAGCCTATTCCTTATGAATTTTCCGGATCGCGGACACAGCAGTGCACAAGCGTAAACATGTTTTTCATTGCCGCCATCACGGACCTGAAAAAACCGGTCCGGAATAGAGAAAAGTAAAATCCCGGACGGTAAAATTCCTGACAGTGCACATGCACAGCATTACCTATATATGGCCTGACATATCGGATCTGAAAAAATGACCCGGACATGAAAAACTGAATTTTCATGTCCGGTGGTCCGGGACATAAAAATTCAGTGTAGTGCACAAGCGCCCTTCCTCTGTTACAATAATACTTTTAGTAATTATACAGGGTTAATTGTAAAACACCAACCGCTTTGAAGGACTAGAAATCTAACATCATAAATTAAACTGTTTGTTCTATGACTTTTGCTCGTTTCATTTTGCTTTCACACAAAAATAACTTAATACTAAAATAATAGTGTTCTTTTAATAGTAATTTTGAGTCATTTCGTTTATCTACATTTATATTATAAAAAGATAAAGTATTTAACTTTATAAGCATACCACATACTTGTCGGATCGGATGATCGTATCACTATCCAAAAATACTGATTGAAAGGGATGAACACACATGAACATACTTTTATCTACGGGAAGCTTATAAGACCCGTGGCATCTTTGTCTTGTTATATAGGGGTGTAGACCACTTTTTAATGTTTTTATTTTAAAGATTTACATGAAGTTGATAGAAAAAATTTTATTCATATAATAAGTTAAAATCTAAAAATAAATTTAATTCCGTTTTGTCACTGGCACTGCAAGATGAATTTTTTTTATTTTTTTTAAGAATTTTTAATTAAGAATATTTTTCAGTATATTATTGTGAATGCAAAATTGATCAAATACAATAATAAGAACAAATTTTTATCTTTATCGAAAATATTTGTTTTTTCATAATCAGTTTAAACATAAGCATAAAAGTGACTTTATCTGTGTTAGTGTATCAAACACTACCACAAAAGATATATGCATTTATTTTCGTTTACTGTCTACACAGGCATTCATAGATCAAATTTTGTATTTTACTAAATTTCTAAACAGTTGCTGCTTTTTTTTTTTCAAATAACCATGTATAAGTTTCGTACAAGGAGGAGTGGCTTGTAAAAAATAAACTAAAATTATGTAAATCAAACAACAGAGTTAAAATTGTATACATACTTAGTTTGACTTGTCCATCTAATCCAAGCAGTATGTTATCCGATTTGATGTCCCTATGTATGACGTGGTTAGTATGCAGAAAGTGTAGAGCTTGTAACACCTCGCGGCACACAGCCGCTATCTGACCCTCGTCCATACACGTCTCGGTTACTACGTCCGTTAGAGAACCGCCCGCCAGATACTCCATTACTACCCACAATTCCTATACAGAGAACACAGAAACATGTAATGTAGTAAGTGTAAGTCGTGGGCCAATCGTAATAAAACACAATCAGTCGCCATTTCGTGATTGTTCCATTAATTGTTGTGGTTGGCGCTGTTGATGTTCGAAATCATAACATTTGACAACGTACTTGCGCTAATCAAGTATGTAGAATAGTTATGCTTAGTAATGTACGGACATTAAACAAAAACCAATCACAAATGTCTATTTAAGAAATAACTTTTTGGAAATTTACATTATTTGGTAATTAAAAAAAAAATAATTCTAGAATTCCTTTCTTTCGCCTTATTCGGCGCGTTCCATTCTGATAGATGTACGATCAAATAAATAATTGCGACAACTCTATCGACTAGTTTATACTTGATTGCTTTTCATATTTTCTGGGCAAGGATCAACAGAACGATTTTGTGCCTTGTACCTTGTAAACAAAACAGGTATGACTCAAGTTCAGGAAATGTTCAAAATGATATAGATATTTTTTTTTTAAATATTCTCTCGGCCAGCTCTAATCATCAAATTTGTATGGGTAATGCCACTATAAACTAATGACAATATTAATAAGAGAGTATTTTAAGAAAAAAAAAGGACTAAAAAAGCATCTCACTAGATGGCGACTCTACCAATAGTTGATTTTTCCAAGACCGAAATTGTCATTTCCGTTCCTTTTAACTAACATATTAAAACACTGATATTTGCAAAGTTCGAAATTAAGATATCAATACAAATACGAAAAAGTACAAATAGAATATGAGTTGTTTATTAAGTTTTGAAAATTAATTTACTTTTATAGATGAAAGAAAACCGGAAAGGTTGTCATGCAAAAATCAAGAAAGTACCGTAGCGATATCTAGTTTGATTACGGGCACTATTTTTTAAAAATACTTCCTCATTGATGTTTGCGCAACTGGCTGTAAGTGACATACCTCATTAACTAGATAACTGTCGAGGTAGTTAACCACGTTGTTGTGTTTGTTCTCCCGCATAACGAGAATCTCGTTTATTATGAGCTCTTTCTTGGGTTGTTGACCTAAGTTCATTTGCTTGATCGCCACTTCCATACCCGTCGATGTCTCGATCGCGGTATATACTGTGCCCGATGCCCTGTGAATGACATAAAATTATCTGTATTTGATCACCCGCAATTACGCTAGTATAAGTTTTTACGAGTATTTATCCCTAAAGCCATATGCCACGGGACACTTCAATGTGTTAGATAACCATTTTGAACTTTATGACTATAAATTTAGACTTGTAGACAAAAAAAGCAATTCATTGTAAATGACATGCACATATGTAAGTTAACATACCCTTGGCCGATTTTTTCCATTTTGGTATATTTCCTATTGGGATCGCCGACGCTGACGATTGTTCGTAATTTTTCTAAAATTTCTTCATCTGTCATTTTCTTTTTCCTTTGCTGCTGACCTGTCGCTCGTCTGCAAAACGAACAAATATTTTGAGAAACGTTGAATATCAAATAAGTCCAGGTAGTGCACACATGAAATAAGGAGATTGAAAGCGAACGTGTACACTTCCGTTGAAGGCGATTACACAACGAAATAACTACAATCAAAGGACTCGTAGTTATGAACGCTTTGAGCAAATCTGAAAAGACGAACGGGTGGATACAGAAAGTAAAGTAAGCATAAACTGATGAGTGATGAGCCACGACATGGCTTATTGTTTATAGTGTAAGTGCTCGTGGCAAAAATGTGCAAGAACTTTCTTAAGCTTGATATTCAACTGTGGAGATTAGGTGCTGCAACACTTGGGTCAGTTCTCTTAATAGTGGGAAAAGACCCATGCTTCGTAGACTTCAAAGGATCGTGGTCTCGAGAGAAGATATCGAACAATTTCATGGACTGCAGGATCGGCTCTTGTTGGTATGCCGCCATGGGAATTGGAGGCGACGACCATGGAGGCTGTCTATGGTGGTCGCATGGAGGCCAGGAGAAGAGGAAAGCGCCCCTCCTCGAAAACGCTGGTGAAGATAAGATAAAGGGCAGAAGAGGAATTAATATCAGACTGGGAACAGTCAATCACAACCGCAGAGTACGGAGTCCGTATCCTGCAGGCAACCCGTAGTTCTGAGAAAGTGGAGGAAACGGGGCGCTTAACTTCATGTAGGTGCAGGCACTTTCCGGACACGGATGTTTCGGTAAATACCTGTACCATACTGGAATGCCATGCTGCGCAGCGAGGAGTCATGTAGGGCAATAGTCTCCTTGTGCGAGGACGTCATGTTGTAGAAAGAGGCCACGGAGGGTCCGCGAAAAGGCTGCCTGCGCAGATTTTCCGAAGGAGAAGGACGGGGAGGAGAAGGCGTCGTTATGTACGCCTGATACCCCCTTTAGTGGTAAGTCAATCCCGAGGTTCGGAGGTCCCTCGAATAAATAGAGGTTTTGCTGGTCTCTGGGAGAGTTGGAAGTGCTTGGCACATCTACTCTTTACAGATTAGCGGGATTAGCGGGCTTTACAGATTTACGGATTAGCGGGTCTTATCCGACGATCCTGCCTTCAACAGCGTTTCGTTTTCTCTCATTGTGGAGACGCATGGGACGTGCGGTGGCAATAGGACGACGGAGGACCTTGGTACGAATCCATTGAATTACCTTTTAGGACCGCAGATAACCACGGAAGAGTTATCTGCTGTCCTAAAACGTCATTCTATGTCATCAAATTTAAGCCCTCTTCGCACGGCGCGACATGATACGGTATCAAACCCCGTCGGGATATGACGGATTCCAAAGTAGGAGGTGAAGTAACCTGGAAGGATCTTCACTTCAGGTCTCTTCACAATGGTGGGAAGGGGAGAGGAATCTCTAATGCATTCCTTCCCTCTCGAGTTTTGCGTGGTTGGTCGGCACCAATCCCGCCGGTTATAGGAGAGGCTCTCGATGTACTCGTGTCTCTCTGGCCACTAGGGAGGACCAAGGGTCCTGATTAATGGGGGTAATTGTCCTGGCGACTAGATCACAATCGACTCGGTCTCGATCTCCAGCAGAGGGTACACCGTAGGGGTTTTGGAGGATAGATAGACCTACCCACCCCCGTGTCGCTCGCCAGAAGGCAGATACTGCTTAAAGCATTGCCCCAATACATAAAAAAGGTGTTGGAACACTTCGAAATGGAACTGGAACAGATGCTGGAACATCCTAATATAAAAAGTGAACTAAACCGAAAAGATTGCACAACGTGAAACGCTGCAACTCAGCTGATGTCAGAAGTTGATATGAAAATAACTCCAAAAAACAAATTTAGTAATGATTGAAAGTTATTTTATTACTAAAATGATTTGGCGCCGCCGCCACACTAGTACTGATTATATACTCTTAGTACCTTAACATACTGAAATATCAAGCTTTAGAAAGCTCTTGCAAAATTTTGTCTCACGTTCCCCATCAGGACGAGAGATATACCTATAATGATATTGGTTTAAAAAATTATTCATCAAATATTTCAGCTAAATAACAATGATTTACATTTTAAAATTAATAAACAAAAATATAATTTTCCTATATTTGCAGTCTGTGTCGTCCAATGAAACACCAATCAGAGTGCGTGACGTCATTTTTTGGGTAAATTAGTAGTAAAACTATCTAGGAAAAGCGCAGGAAACATTGAAAGTGCGAAATAATGCTATTGATTGCTTATAATCAATATTTTCAGCTGTCACAAGGATCAGTTTACTGTTTTACTTATTTGTGAGTTTAAATTTAAGTACTGCAAATAACAATTTTCTCACAGAAGATCCGTTTTGTTTGCCCCACAAATGACGTTACGTTATCAGAGTCGTCGTTTATGCGGTTTTTAAATTGATTGTTTAAAACAACTATTTTAATACATAGTTTCGGGTACATAACGAGATTATTTACATAAAATAATATTTTTTGTGGAAATAAGTGATGATTGATTAAAAACACTTTAGAAAGTTGTCCGATCCCCTATTTGCCTGCTGTGCGCACGTAGCCTTAATGATTAAATAATAAGTTACCCCGTGTCAGTGGTGAGGGGGGCGCCGTTAGCGGGCGGGACGTGGGCGGCGGGCGGTGGGTGGGGTTGGTGCGGGGGCGGGGTCTGCGGTGCGGCCGCCCCCGCGCCCGCCGGGTTCCTGTTGCGGTCTAGCGACGGAGCACCGCCAGCCTCCGACCGGGAACATATCTATAAACGAATAATTACTAAATAAGGCTAGTACTCGTACGAATTAACTTCACACCAAAAGCCAATGATATTCCCCATAAACGATATTTCGTCTACAGCCCGTTCGCTGAATAGGGAGAATTTCAAACGTTGACCTTAATGTACTGATAGATATGGAAAACATTTTAGGTGCATTTTACTATGATAAAATTGGCTAGATGCATCTGCGCGAGCGCAACAGTAATATGGTTGTGCACAAGTTTAAGAGATTCTTTCTACAAAATTATTTCTGTTTGGTGACATTGCCATTTTCCTTTCTGAGGCACAGATGTTTTAACAAAATTATATTTAAACAAATATAATGGGTGCATATTTGATTTTATTTTTAGATCGGATACGGATCCTTTACAGATTTCGTGTTTAATTACTAAGATGTTGATTGTCTTTTTATAATAAATACTTTCGGTCAATACTTATAGGAAACATTCACAATACTGAATTTTTATCATAATCTTGGAAATTTTAGAATTACCTGAAGATAAATACTTCGCCCAATCAACACGCATTTTATTTATAATGTAAGTACTTACCGAGAGTGTAGTCAGGGCTGGGTGAGGCACGTGCGGAGGGGACGCGGGGGCGGGAGCCGGTCGCGGCGGCGGCGTTTCTTCTTCTTCTATAGGCTTTGTATACTGAAACAGACAATACAAGCAGTGAACACAACTAACTTAGGCCTGGATGACCTAGGCTAGTCCGTGGCGGACGGTAAAATGTATGTTTCCTATAATACAGTCCGTTCAATGCGATGATGAGCTGGAGCGGAGCGGAGCACTTACAAATTTACTTGCGACGGACACATCCGCTAATCCGTGGCAGATGGTCCAGGCCTTAATTAGATAAAAACTTTTTTTTATATAAAGGGTCTGTCTTTAATATGTCATAATCTCTATGACTCCCTTATAATATGGTTTCTAAACACACATATTTTTGATACAAAACATTTTCATATATTCAAATATATAATTCACTGAAAAGTTTGTATTTGCAAAACACAGTGTTTAAATTAGACACAATAATAAAATATTGCTTTATTTATTGATAATATAATTTAAAAGTTCAGATTACTTACAATACTCTTAGTGCGGTCAGGTCTAGAAGGTGGAGGGGGTGGAGGTTCAGGATGTTCTGTATCTGTGGGTGTTGATGATGATGGACTACTAGATGAAACTCTGGACACTGACGAACCTGTCATGACAGTTGTTGTTAAAAGCAATATTATCGCAGAATTATTTAAATATAGAAAGAGATTGACATTCTTTGTGAAAAATCTGTATTAAATTACTTCAAGAATTATTTAAAATTGTTTAAGTAATATTTCTTTTTAGTACATATGACTTAAATATAATATAATTTTATTGCACCTAAATTGCAAAAGATATACATATTCATAAAAATGATGTTACATATCATGAGCGATGACCAAGATCACATAACTCAGACATCAAGGATGATTATAATCATCCTTAATACAGCATATAATATAATAATAAAACATATAATAATTATTATGTAAGTATAAAATCATTTGATATTACGAATAATTTATTATTATATATTTCAACCCAATTAACTACTTTTAGACAAACCATACAATGATTGTGATTTTACTTGGGGCTTCTAAAAATTACTTAGTTAATACTGATCCATGCACATCAAGTCAACTCATTAAAAGCTTTAAAATATGGAACACTTTCTTAAGCAAATAAAAAATACCCACCTGAATGAGTAGTGTGCATCTGTGCTGACGTCATATATTTGGAAGGTGGTGGCTGTGTAGCCGAAGCATCATACCACTTTAGTACGTCAAGGACAGCTTGAGGATTACTCTTCTGTTCCTGCTTACTGATATTTGACGCCATCAACAACCGTGCCCATGCTTCCGGCATACCCTACAAAAGAAAATGGTAAAACATTGAATGCAAGTAAAATAAATCCTTGATACACTAACTAGAATCTTAATAATAAATTGCTTTTTTATATAAAATGAAATAATTTTGAAATAGCAGTACAAGATATTGAAGATTATACAAAACCCTGGTTAAAAAAAACATGCTTTCTACTTATATCAACAATGAATAGAACTTCAAACATATAAATAAGATAGAATATTAAAGGTAAAATGTATATATATTGCATCACGATAAAGATATATTTTTCTTAGAATTAAAATTCTGAAAATTTCAGTAATTATTTACATTTCAGGCTTTCACTATTTATAATTATACTAGCTATTAGACACATATGCACAAGCAAATATAATTATAGAGTTTAAATAATTAGAATCATACATAATAATTATTATTACTTCAAGCTAATCATATTGAAGAACTAACTTTTGTTTTCAACAATGTATAACATACACTCAATTATTATCATGCAAAGTGCTATATAATTTATGCAAGGATGTGTTTACAAAAATTTTTTTAGTTAAAAAGAACCAATAAAAAAATATTGAGCCAATGCCTTCATATTATATTAATTGTAAAGGCAAATATTAATACAAGCTATTACTTACTGTCATAGGCAGCTTGAAACAAAAGCGGTAACATGTGGAACTCAATTACACGACTTCAAAATATACATACTCATCTATAACACAATACTTTTCATATTATATAACATTTAAGAGAGAATTCTACTTCTAAAATGCATGCCATCATGGTGTTTCACACAATGATGGCCAAAGGGATGTGGTTCTATTTATAAATTGCATTCCTTAAAGTTGAGCTCTTCAATAAAACAGTTTATTCTATTTTTACATCTTCTAATTTTAGACATGCTTTTTCCTTTTTTCTCTTATCTATACATAATATTATGACAATTTTTTGTAATTAATAATAGCAAGTTTCACAAATGTATGATTTCCTCTTGGGATTAATTTCTAATATTAAACTGTATTTTAATGCAAAAGTAAATAATTAACAAAAGCAAAGCTTGGAAGCTGTTTAGGCATTGTGTAGGCAAAAGCTTATCTGATAATATAATCTATTAGTGAAATGATAAAATTTATATGGAAAATTATAAACTTCTGATGTCACTTTCAATCCTATATTTTTCATATTATAAGTTTATTTTTAGTTAAGTTACTATAAAAGAATTGATGACAATATTAAATTATTATTGTTAACATGAAAATCAAAGTCACCAAAGAAATCAAAATCTAAAATAATTCAGAATGAAGCTTATGATGTGTCATGGGTTTTCCCTTAAGTGCATGTTCATAAATTAAATAGAATACCAATAACAACACTTTGCTTTAAAAAAGGAACAAAATTTAATACTCACTGTGAATTCACCAGTAACAGCATCAAAGCCCACATGTACCGTGTGTTCAAAATTAGTTGGATAGCTAATGTTTGGTTTATTATCATTGTGAGCAGTGCTTTTGGAACCCTTTATCTTAGCTTTAAGTGTTTTCTTCTTTCTGTCGCTTCCATCATCAGGTTCTATAAAGTTTAAAAAAAAATAATACATCACCTTCACTTATATCAAATAATTTATATTAGTGAATATGACTCAGGTAACTCTTCAATTGTTTGTTTATGAAATATTCATGTCAAGCAATGATCACTTTATTGAATTTTAATGAGTCTCTTAGAACCAAACTAAGAATCATACCTTTAGGCAGCGGTCTCATGTCAACAGAGGCCACTGAATCCCCACGGTCTGTAGCTCTATTACTTGTGAGGCGCACTGGCGGCGCAGGGGGTTTGTCTTCATCACTAGACATTTCGTTAGGTTTTGCCTATCCTAAAAATATAAATATTTATCTTTTTAAATCACTAACTAGTCAACTTACAATTATTGTTTGTATTTCCTACTTATAAAACAGCTATTTTAGAGATATATTGGAAGTTATTTGCTAACTTGTCAAACTACAGATCATAGACCCGACACGGAGTTTCGAAATGTTTAGCTTAAAATGGATGAAAGAAAACAAAACGAATGAATATAATAAGGGCGTACATAGCATTCCTTCATAAAATCACAAAAAGTAAACGACAGTATTACTCATGGACGCGCCCCGCAAAGGTTTGCGATTGGGGCAAGAATAATAGTAGTCAAATACTTAAGTTATTTTACTTACTGGCGATCTAAGGACTTCTATAAAGTAAATAAATAATATTTATCAAATCTGTGTTACATTTCAATAGTTAGATTTACAAAAAAAACGTCACTCAAACAGTAAAAAAAATATTTCACACACAAGAAACGATAGCAGCGATGACTATAGCCGCCATTACTTAACTTATGTCATAGACAAAAAATCTGCACAGGCCACAGATTAGTTGCTAAAGACCAACTTTCACAAGCACAAAGTAATGTCTTCTGACGTATTGCATATATTCGTGCAGGCGAAGCGAATCGATTGAAATTATACAAACTAAGTGAAGTTTTGGAGATTGGTTCATGCTGCAAGCGGACGAAGACGAGAGCAGAACCATATTTTTACATGTCATTATAATTTGGTTGACATCGTGGATGAGGAAGTATCTAAAAAAAACATTAGTTCCCGAAATCAAATTAGTCGCCACAGTACTTTCTTGATTTCTCCATGACAACCCTTCGCGTTTCCTTTCATAAAAGAAAAGAAAGGAGGAAGTTTATTGACTACATCTGTTCGTGTACAATAATAATGTGTAAGAGAAAAAAAATAAACAAACAAAAATACAACTATTTCAACGATGGCCCCTGTGCCACTTCAAGATGGGCAAAATGATACAGAGGTCTGTTATTCTGATAGGACCCAATGGTTTAGTTATGTATATAAATAAATAAACAACAAAAACAAAATAAAAAATACAGATTACGATGCAAAGTGTCTATAGTTGATAAAAAACAAAACAAGTGTCATAAAAAGGTATACCTACATAAAATTAATTTTCAAAACTCAATAAACAACTCATTTTCTATTTGTACTTTTTCGTATTTGTATTGATATCTAAATTTCGCAAATTTAAGTTTTTTAATACGTTAGTTAAAGGAACGGAAATGACTAGCTTTGGTCCATTTGTTTTCTGCAAAAATCATCTTTTCATAGCTGCTTTTTAGTGCTTTCTTTTAATTCTTGAATAAGAAAGCACTAAAAATAAAATGGATATTCAGTATAAATTATCTTATTATTATTATCTTTAATAATGTAATCGGATAGACGCGCTTAGAGCCTTTTTTATTGTTTTATCTGGTACCATAAAATTAAAAATTGTCATATTTTTTATTATTGTTTCTTTATGTGTAAAAACCACAAACGTGACATTGGCGGAATTGTGTAAACGCAAATAGGCCATGCAAAAGAAGAAGAAATCGGTATAAATAAATGATATTAGACATCGATCATTTAAATAATCTTGTATTTTGCTAAAGCAATCAAATCGAGCAGTTGACCAATTGTGATTTTTGTTAAAATAAATGGAAAGAACTTATTTGTGTTAAAACAATTTGATATTTTCTCATGTATAATCGGTTTGAATATTCTTAATCAATTGCTTTATGTCACTTTGACACTTGTGCTTTGTGACTTGTGTTATTATTTTTATCGTTTACACTGAAATTATTTAATTACACTATTCTACGGTCGTTGTTATATTACAAGTTCCATTGAGTTATTTAAATAAATTGCAGTGTATTTTATTACACGTTCATAGGATCAAAACATGAGAGTGGATAATTGATTACAACATGGAAGCTGATACGAAACCTATGGTAATGGAAATATATCGGTGTAGTCCTTTATCAATGCACCCTTTCTGAGTCATAATTGTTATTTAAAACTTTACATTATGTATGTCAATCATATACTTACTTACAACACGAAAACTATTTGACAAAATAAAGCATCTAGTACCAGCTAGGTATAGCTTGACTGTTCTGTATGGCAAACTGAAGTACTTGCCTACTTATCATGAACTAGAAATAATTATGGTTCTATTGCAATTTATAAGTACTAGTCGCGACTTCATTAACAATATAGTTTAAACTATTTGATTAGAGATAACTTTTAACCTTAAATTTAGTAATTGTATTTAAAAAAACGTTTTTTTTTAATACAATTACTTTTACAATTACTAGAAAAAAACAACAAAACAGTGCCATGGGGCAATCATGAAAGTATGGAAGCCTCGAAATTTACATTAAATAAACAATCTGTTTATTCTATCTAATTAAAAGCCTTTTTATCTATTAAAAATTAATTTGTCAAAATTGATACTTGATAAAAAAGGGAAGGAAGAAAGGATTTTGTTAATAACATTTGGTAATGACTTAACTTTATAAATACTAGATAAGAAAGCTTGTAATTGGCAAGATGATTTATTTAATTTTTGATATTTATCAAAAGTTTGCTTTTGTACAAACAGTTAATGACTGTAGAAATAACAATCTTGTAGTATTAACAATCTTGTGTCATTACAAATTACTTTTTTATTTTTAGCCTCAAGATAGTACAACAAAAAGAAGTCCCTTTGATAATTTGAGTAGGGATGAATTGATTATAAAATGCAAAGGCTTACTTACTATTGCACAAAAGGCTAAACAAGCCAAAACAGGTAATGTGAAACAAAAGGTGGTCCGACGGATATGACAATTTAAAAAAAGACACTTGATAACTATGGACTGTATTAACTAAGTTAATGCTATCCGTTTTCAATGATATTAACATCTGTAGTTGAGTAAGAGTAATTACTTAAGTAAATATTTTTAACAAATAAACAAATTATAATAATTTGAATAAAGTGAGAATACTACTATCAGTTCTTATTTCATTCTAATTCTCGTCAATATGGGTTAAAATATCTGTTTAAGTTATGCCAATTTGTAGATTTTCAGATAGCCCATAAAATTTTGCTTGCCCTTATAAATGCATTCCATTAAATGTCATCAGTTTTCATCTACATAAATAGAATTTCCTAATTACACTGGATTGTTTAGGGGATCATGCTAAGTGCAATGGATTTTGCATTTGTATAAGAGCAACAGAGTGTATCAGTTCGGATAGTCCTAAAATATAAATGTTCATAAAAAATGTGGACTGCTTTGTTCTTATTAAATTTGTTATAAAATAATGGCAACTATTATTAGTTTATACTTTCTCGGTTTCATAGTTTACCTACATGTGATCAATGATTTTTTTTTATAGAATTACAAAGTGAAATAGAAAGTTATAAAATACAACTTGGTAAAATTGAAACAGAGAAAAAGTTGAGCTTAGATAATTTACAAACCTTACAAGAACTTGTGGACTCATTAACTGAACAAAAATTAAATTACATAACAGAAGTTGATAATGCGCAGGGCAAAATAAAAGCCCTCAGCAGTAAGTGTAAAGATTATGAGGTGGAAATTAATAAATACAAAGCAGATTTAATAATTAAAGATCAAAGTTTAACTGACAATACACAGAAATTATCTGATCTAGACAGTGAAATTATTTCTTTAAAAAGACAAAATGGCAGACTCTTGGAAGAAAATGAACAACTTATTACTCAGCTCTCCGAGTTGGAAACTCAAACTGAGCAATTCAAAAACATAGGATTAGAGCAAAGAAAACAACTAGAAATGTTAGAAGATAGAGTACAGACAGGTAAATCCATAACTTAATAATTTGATGTCATATTTTCAGAACTCGCCTGGAATTATAATATGGTTTGTTTGTTCCAGACGAAGCAAGTAAAGCACAAATTGAAAACCTTACTAAAAAGATTGAAGAATTAGAAAATCAACTTCAATCAAATCTACATAATAATGAGGATTTTGATGTTGCTAAATTTGAAAATAAAGTGAAAGAATTGACAAACTTGTATGAATCAGAGAAAAGTAAAAATGAAAAGGCAAATATAAAATTACGTAGTTATAAAGATAAAATTTTGAAATGTGCAGCTTGTATTAATCAACTTAAAAATTCAAGATTTATATTAATGAAAACTATAAAAGATTATTCTGAAAATATACCAAAATGGCAAAATGATATCATTAAAGCTTCAAAAATGTTAGAAAATGAGATTAATCAGCTAAATAATGAAAATATGTCTTTAAAGGCAAAGTTACACAATTTAGAACTTCAGTTAAGTAACATTACTGAGGTTCAAAATATTAATGAGAAAGAAACAGATGAGCAGAATCATCTGTTTCACACTGAAAATGAAACTTTAAAAGAAAAAGTGAATGAGTTACAAAATCTTTTACAATCAGAAACTGAAAACAGTGAAATGTATCAGACTCAAATATTATCATTAAAAAATAATTGTGAGCTGTTACAATCTCAATTGATTGAAATACAGGAACAGGTATCATCATATGATATTGAAAACACAACACTCAGACAAGATTTAGAATGTATAACTGCTAAGTATAATGATCTGAATGAAAAACTTCCTACTCAAGTTGAAATAAACCAACAGTTAACAATTAATATTAATGAAGTGAAAACAAAGTATAATACTCTAAAAGAGAAAAATAATGAACTTGCTAATGCAATCGACAAATTAAAACTTGATAATGATAGTTTAACTAAGTCTATTCAAACAAATTCTTCTAATAATGATCTTCTAGAAAATTTGAATTTCCAAATTAAAGCATTGGAAAGTGAAAAAGCAACATTAGTGAAAGAAAAACTTAATGCTAGAGATAATGTTATAGATTTAGAAAATCGAAACAAATCTTTATTAGATCAAAATAATAAGCTAAAAACAGAAATTTTAACAATAAAGTCTCAACTTGATACAATAACAATAGAGAAAAATGTAATAGAGAAAAGACTGATGGCGGAAAAGGAAAATGAACTAAGCAGTTTGAAACGTGAAATGAAAGCATTACAGGAAGAATATGACTCACTTAAAAAAATGCATGAAAACATGCAAGATTTGAATGGTTTACTTAGAGAAGAAGTTGAAACCCTCAAACTTTCTTTAGAACAACCAAGACCAGACGATTGTGAAAATACATCTGATTTGAATGTATCATTACAAGCTGATATAGTTAAGTTGGAAACAAAGTTATCAGCATATAAACAAGAAAATGCTTCTCTTCTTGCAGAAATCAAAGAATCTCGTTCCAAAACGAAAGAATATGATAATATTACAGCTGAATATGAGGATGCGAAGTCGAAACTTATGGGGTACAAAACCGAAAATACAGAATTGTTGAATGAAATGAAAGAAATTAATCAAGTACTTAAAGAACGAGGCGAAGCAATATCAAAATTACAGAAGGCCATTGCAGAAATGGAAAGGCTTGTAGAAACCTTGGAGAAAGATAGAGATAATATTAACGAAGAGAAAGCTAATTTGCAATCTAAAGTTACTGAATTAGAAAATGATTTAAAGAATACGAAAGAAAATTCAAACCATAAACACCAAGACTTTGAACAGATTTCTTTAGAAAAAGAAGCAGCCTTAAAAGCTTTATCAGAGAAGGATGTTATTATCAACTCTTTGAAGGATGAGATTGAAAAATTGAAACAACAGCAACCATCTTCTGGTAGGTAAAATTTTATAAATGACTTAATTGATTATCCTACATCATACTATAAATAATATTTTTAATTGTAATAGATTTACCAAATGAAGATATGTCTACATCGACAATTTCGAAGACAGAAGAGCAATCGCGGATGAAAGACTTAGATGACTCCTTTGAAGAAAAGTAAGTTTATCCAATACTAGCTGTTCACCCACTTCACTAGTTTCGGAACCTGATCAATGTAAACAAACACCCTTGATATAGGAATCTTGTTGTGTTACAATTATTTGATGAATTGAAGCCTTTCATTTTTTTCACATAAATTATAATTCGGTAACTTTTCCATAATCTCAGTTGATTTTTGACTCATGCTGATTTTTTCTAAAACATGTAATAAATTATTCACTTTTTAACTATCTAGCTGCATTGTTAAATACTTATAATACCGGGTATTAGACGCGATTTTACACTGACCTACGCAAACGTTTCGACCGGCCGTGGTCACAAAGAGAATCATTATAATAAATTCTTATGGGGAATGTTATAAATAGATCAACTGAAAGGTAAGATAAATAACATTTGTAAACTTATTTATATTTGCAGATACACAAAATTACGAATCTTTGCTTTAAAGTTGAAGAAAAAATTAAATGATACTATCATTCAGTTGCAAAATGCTGAACAAGATAAGGCTAAACTTGAAAAATTACTGAATCAAAATGAAAAAGTGCAAATACCTGAAAGTAAAGATGAAACTGATAATGCTAGTGTGTTAAATCTACAAACAAAACTGACTGAATCTGTTGCAGCTTCCGAAAAGATTGAAGCAGAAGTACAGAAACTAAAAGGTTTGTTATACCTACACAATTATTGTATTATCTTCCAAGTACAGATATAGTAAGTAAATTTTTATTCTCTAGCGGAATTGGAAGCAAAGTCTCAACAATTAACTGCGGAAATTGATGCTCACAAAATTACTAAAGAAAATTTGGAGAAAGCTCGTCGTGATGCCAAAAAGAAAAATGTACTCAGTCTTGAAATGGAGGATTATGAAAGATCTATGAAGGAATTAACGACTAAAATGGAAGAAAAGAAAAGAAAGATGGTACAGGTAAGTGTTTTACTAGTATATAAAAAATATAAATATATAAAATTTCTACATATTGATTGAAATGTCTCTAAAAAAAGTTCGATTTTTAGATGGAATCCATAATTGACACTCAAGAAGGAACAATAACTGCAATGAAAACTCAAATAAAATTACTTGAAGAACAGATACGATCGGAAGAAACTCAAAATAGATTAACTAAAGAAGAGTTACAAAATATTATAGAAGAGAGTAGAGAGAAGGACAGTACTATTCAAATAAAAAATGAAGTCATATCTAAATTAGAACAGGACTTCGAAGATGAAAAAAGAAAGAATGAGGAAGCTATTTTCGAAATCACTCGAGTTTTGAGTGAAAAAGAAACACTGATCATTACATTAGGACAGGAAAAGATTGAATTGAATAACAAACTAAAAAAACTTGAATACAAATGTGCAGAATTAAGTGAAAATCTAAAAATAACAAACATAGAGCTTGCTGATTTGAAAACAGAGTATACTAGCTATAAGGTTATTTTTGTTTAATATTTTCTTGCTTCTCCTTTGTATTTGATATTTATTGATCAAATTATTGTCACCAATAATGTTTTAGGTGAGGGCGCAAGCTGTGCTAAGGCAGAATCAAACAGTTGATCATAGCCAAGAGGAACGTTTAAAAGAGGAAGCTGCTGCTCTTCGAACGCAAATAGCGACGTTAACAGCAAAACTAGCAACAGTACAGTAAGTTCAGTAGTGAGAACTTTCGTCAACGGATTTGTTTAATTTTAAATGACATGGCCGGAATTTGTATAGAGCTGTGTGTGTGAGCAAAACAAAATATTCATTTACATTGACATGCTGTGGATTATATTAAAGCTTTTAGGTATGTTTTTGCAATAGCACAAATTATATATCTGAAAAAGAAGCGAGAGGCACCATAACACTATTAAAAAAAATAATACTTCAACATTTCTATTATCTAGATATTTTAAGAATTACGTATATAAACATAAAAATACGTCTCAATGTTACAGTATATACAAGTATATGATGTAAAACACGCCAGATATGGTGAAAAATAGTCTCAAATGCGCGACACAGGTATTTAAAACAAGCTGTCATAAAGAAAATTATGTACCCACAGAGAATATCTAATCTTTTGCAAAATGCCAATTACAATATTCGGATACACTCCCCTTAATATAATCAGCGTTATTATAAAAACGATAAGCGCGCGTTGAACATAAGTTAAATATTTTTTCTATTACAAAATCGTATTTAAAAATTGGTTACGGATAAACATCTCTTAAACATTGTTTAAAGTATAAACACTTTTTGAGGGTTGTTTAACGCATATCTCTAATCAGTTGCGTTTTGTTAAAAATTCATCCATATATATAAAAATTGATATAGAGCTTAAAGATAATATGGTTGATTTAGATTAGATGGAAAGCGTTTGGAACTCGTAAGTACTCGTAAGGACTTTGATTTAAAAGAAAGTACATTTCCGTGGATTGTTTGCTAACAAAATATATGAAATTATTTAAAACGATATTTCACATAATCTTCGAGATTAAAGTTGTATGGCATCTGTATCTGTACACAGCTTGTGAACATTTGCGGCGTTGGGCTCGTCATCAGGTAGTCGGTTGTTCCGTTTCTTCATATTATTTCGCTATAGTTTTACTTATTAACTCTATGTATGGATATGGATTATGTATATAAATGTCCGTTTAAATGATAATTTTATGCTCTTTTTTATTTTTAAATTATTAGTGAATACTTTAATGAACATATCTTTTTACGATTAGCATTTATCATAAGTGTGTGAACAAATGAAACCCGATTGAACGAATGTTTTATGGGTTGCATGTTAAAACCAGTGTTATTTAGACAATGATTAAAAATGGATTTGTAATAGGTTTACATTATTAGACATTGTTTCGTTAAACACATGGTAAAACTAACATCTCTTTTGTAATAACACTAAATATTGTTAAAACCCAAAACGTTGGTTATTGCACGGCTCTGCAACTCAACAAATTTAAAGAGCCATTTTGTGATAATCATAAAATAATTAATTTTTTTATTTATCACAGCAATACGATTCAGGTGGGTGTATTTTTATATTTAATCTAAAGTTCATTAATAGCCATCGCCTGAGGTATTTGAGCGGTAGGACGGGGGAGGCAAATGAACGTCAAACTGACTCAGTCTGCCGTCGACCGCCATGACGGTTACACGATTCAGTTGTTTGTGCCACTTTGTTTGAAACATACATGAGATAAAATATCCCAAGATGGGTCCAATTACAAGACAAGTGAAAAATGTTGTTTACAATGTCCTCAGTTTTTTTCTCAGAAGAAAGATTGACAAGGAAAGTATAGAAGACAAATATGATATGAATTTTAATCAATTAGTAGCAAAAGCTATAGGAGTGTCAGCTCGCAGCGTAATGAGAATTGTAGCTAAAGGAAATTCGAATCTGCGAACATCGTAAAACCTGAAATTTTAGTAAAAAGGGGAATCCATAATGATGATTTTGACATGGGTGTAATACGAAGAAAAATTCATCAATTTTATACTGTTGATAAAAAAATCCCAAGTATTCGTAAGCTGCTTGCAGTTTTAAAAGAAAATGGTATCGTGAACTGCGGTTGTACATATTTAAGATAGCTTCTATACAAGATGGGATATTTCTTTAAAAAGTGTAAATCTAAGAGACATTTTGATTGAGAGACCTTTTATAGCTGAATGGCGAGTAAGATATTTAATAGCTATACGGAAATATAGAAATGAATACTGAAACATATATTTTCTGGACGAAACCTACGTAAACAGTAACCACAACTCCAAAATGGGTTGGCAATCCGAATCTGAGCCTGGTATTTATGATGATATTTGCAAAGGGCGTCGTTTAGTGATTGTTCATGATGACAGTCGAGACGGATTAGACGGTACTTTAACTATTTTCAAATCAGATTCGAAATGCGGGGATTACCATAGGGATATGAATGCCAAAAATTTTCATAATTGGGTTAATCACAAATTGAAAACCAGAAAATACCAAACGCGAACTCCTTTTTCTGATAAAATAAACTCAGTCCGAAAAAATTTCACCTGTCATGTCGTTCTTCGCCTTCCGCCGTGTTATCTCGATCTTAGCCCCATTGAGCTAGTGTGGGCCGATATAAAGAACAATTTAGCTTCAAATTATATAAATTCAACATTGGACGACAAAATTCCAATCATCACAAGATTGTTTTCTGAATTCACTCCGCAAAAATGGCAACACTTTACCAAAAAATTGAGTACCACGTACAAAAAATTGAGAACCAATATTGGAACCACGACAAGAGGTTTGACAATGTCATCTATAACAATCATAAATCTTGAATATGAGTCAGATTCTGAAGAGGATATGGAAATTGAACAATATTGACAGACATGTCCAGTAATGAAGAAGAAGATATTGTTCAATTTTGTACTAAAACAGATAATGGAAATGTTTTTTTGGTTTGTTTATTGAGAAATGGTAACTTGCTTATTATACTGTATCGTAAAAAATAAAATTTAATAAACACTCTCAAAAATGAATTTATTTTTGTTTAACTTCATTAAATTCTCTAAATTGTGATCGGCAACATATATTTTGATTTATTTTAAAGGAAATTTTCACTAATTGATAATTACTGTATATTTTATAATTGATTCTTCGGGTAGGATCCGGCCATGTCATTTATTTATGTAAAATAGTACTATATCTCTGATCTCGCTAATGAAACATTTCTATATGGTATGGTTTTCGAATTGAAGTTTTTATCTTCCAATAATGTTTTAAAACATGTTTTGAGTGGCATGTCATAAATTATTTTTATTACGCTTTAAGAAATAAGCATACTATACCACTTTATATATAGAATAAAAAGTGTATAGCAATTTAATAGAATAATGTTTATTGACTGACATAGATGGTTAATGTTTTTTTTGTAATGTTTATAGCACTATTTAAAAATAGTTTAGAAAATTACGGCCTATTTTCAAACAAATATAACATTCATTTATTCACACTACAAAAATATTCACGGTTTCGTTCCTCTTTACGTCAGCACCTTGGGTGTTGTACTATCTATATCGGTTACAATAAACATATTTCAGAGATCAATGTGTCGAACTGACCGCCGAATCTGAAGCGATGCGCCGGCGTGCGTCTGAAGCTGCGAATGAAGTTGCGCGCGCGCAGCAACGTAACGCTCGACTGCAAGCGGACCTCACGCGTCTCTCACAAGAATTCGACTCTGAGAGATCACAACATAAGCTTCAGGTAATATTTTAAATACTTTAGACCAATTGACTACTCACCAGTTCGTTGTTAAGCTTTCACGGTCATTCACATTAGGATGATAGTAAAAATATTTGACAGTTATAACAATGCATTATGAAATATGTTGGAAATGGTACCTTAATTATAAACAAATAGTTATTGTTTGCAGTATCTTTGAAAATATATTGTAAGTAATTGTAATTGTATTATTTCAAAGTTATCTGTGGATTACAAGAATCGAAATGTTTGATGGCTATGTAACGTCACATTCCGATACACTAAGTGTCAAGCTCTTTGTAGAGAGTGCAACAATACTCACTTTTATCGAAATTAACGGCATAGTTCGAAATTGTCACGTGAATTAATGATTTCGCGGGACAATTTAAATTAAAATATGTTTTTCCTTTATTTAATAATACATTTTTGAAAAACAAACTGGTAGTGGTTTTATATGATCATACGAAAGTTTTGAAATCGCTAAAACAGACAAGTAGCCAATAATGTATTAAAAACAAGATTTTCTCAATCAGGTGTCCACATTGACGCAATGTTATAAAGCACAAATCAACGAACTAGAGGCGAAACTCCAAAAGGAGATTGATTTAAGGATACAATTGTCAAATGCCCAAGACAACTCGAAGTCTTCTGACGTTATTACGAGGGTGGACGATACGAACCGCAACCAGTATATGCTCCCAATCATACCGAAAGACGACAGTGATGGAGAGATGGACATAAACGTGTCTATGTTACCTAGAGAGGAAGGAGAAGTAATTTCATCATTATTTCCTTTTGCCATTGAGTCTATTATTATTACAAACTTGAAGGGTAGAGGAGACTATAATTTAATGTATTTAGTATGGTAACTGAATATAATTTATTTCGGCTCCTTTGTTAATTATAGATGCATTATTTTATAACAGGGATGACGACTAATTTTTGTTTGTTAGTCCGTCAGGTAGATTGTTGACAAAAATTTAAACACGTATTTTGTTCGATACATTGAGTTAAAATGTTACATGGCTTCACGCTTTGGTACATTTTCTACACCTACAAAACTGTGACATAGCGAGCCCCACTCCTCAACTCTAATGCCTGTTATCTATGTTATTTCTTGTTAAATTGAAGGTAAAAAAAATACATATCTAATATTTTTCTATTATTTGAGTAACGGACTAAATAGAATTAATTTTTTTTTTACTCACCGTTTACATCCCTATTTATTTGTTTACATACGTTACATATTTTGCGTCACTTAAATGCTATTTTATTTTGCGTAAATTTCTACTAATTAAAGTTGTATTATTTTTATTTAAAGTAACATTACATTCTATAATATATATCATGGCATGATGTGTAACGTTGCGTTATATCTAAGCTTCTACTTTACCTTTAAGATTGTCGACAATAAATGGAAATATTTTGTAAGTTTGTAATTTATACATTTCAATGAGTAACGCAAACTACATTTTAAAATGCGTTACAATGAATCAAAGTAGAAACTCTTTTGTT